ATATTTTTGGTCTCCCCTTCTACATGTGTTTCTCTGCATAAATTGTAAACAAAATATGTTCGCCTATATCTGCCTGCGCCATATTGACCGCTGCCATTGGTACGCTAAACACGATTTTGTTGAACATTTTGACGCTTTTTTCATATTTGTTTCCAAATTCTTTTTTTTCATAAACAATATCGTACAATAATCACTTCATTCAGCAGTGGACTGATTTAACGGTGCTTATGGTGGTGGGTGAAAAATGTGGCAAACCTGTCATAAAACTGACAAAATACGAATTCGCGCAAAACTAGTTGAAATGATAACTGGCAAGAATTGTTCGTTTGTGTGCAACACTAAACAGAATTGAGTCATTCACTGACCACTCCAGTGCTGTGGAAAACCCACTAAGAAAAATGTCATACAACTTTCTTTTAAATTAATGTTTTTTTTTTTCATTTAAATATTAATCTTTGTCATACAAATATGCGTTGCAAGTAATGTGATTTATTAGTTCAATTCTAAAAACTGGCACAAAATTCTGTATTATGGGATATTCCGCCTAAAACTATGCTTAGTTTAAATTCAATTATTTCAAGTTTATTTTTTATTAAATTTTGCTTGTCATTTGAGTGTACTGTAATATCCGAAATTAATTCAACATAAAATCAAAACTCAATGATCAAATCGCATATTTTCTTTCTTGGCATGCGCTCATTTACAAACCCAATGTGAAAATTAAAAAAAAAAACCTAATTTTGCATACATTTTCTCGCTTGGCAACGCCATATGTCAGCATGACTCATTAGCTGACTTGACCGCTAAAATGTCATTGGCATTTATTTATTCTATTCACTAAAAGTGTTTAATATTTCTCCATGCTACAAAAAATTTACATTTTCTTGCTAACGCTGCCAATTCACGCCCTCAATTGAGAGCTAAGAAAACGAGTGTTAAGGCATTTCAGCCTTTTTTTTATGACAGCACCGAACTGACAATTTCGCTTATGGAAAATTACTTATTAGCTTTATGTCGAAATAATTTGGCAGCAACGTTTTTTTTTTTGCTTCGAAGGTAGCTTAATTGCTGGCGCTTATTGGTTCAAATAAAGTCTTAAATATATATATTGAATTTTTTTTAATAATAAATAATAAAATATGATTATTAATTATTTATAAACCAATAACAAAGATATTTTTACAAAAAAAAAATGATAATTGAAAATATACGAGTACATAGTATATGAAACCACCTATAGAAAATTGATTGCCCTTGAAAGTATTTATCATTCTAATGTGAAAATATTTTTATTTGACCACCACTGTATTTACATTTGACAGTTCAAGTTGCACTGGAGTTGCTAAAATAATGAAAGAGTGGCAACTGCTACTTGAAATGAAAGTTATCAGAGAGTGCCTTGCAAGTTCAAGCGCATGTCAGTGCTTTTATTTATAAATACGCCAAAATGTAGGCAATGTTTTTCTTCTGTGTTCAGAATGATACCAGATGAAAGTGATATAAAAGATTTAACGAATTATATTATCTCGTTACCTTAATAAACGAAAATTTTTACTATTTTGAAGCATACAATACAGGGTTATACATTTCAAGGTTTCGAAAATAAACGTGCATTTATAAAATGCATTCAAATAATTTTCCATGAAATTAATTTTTGTTATAAAATATAAATATAAGCGAAGTGGTTAGGAGAACAGGGTTCAAAGCTTAGCTCGACCAAGATCAAAAAAACAATTAAAAAATAATTATTCCAATTGTGATCGCCCCACGTTAGGGAATGTCAAGCCTTCCGAGTGTATTTCTGACATGAAAATCAAAGCTATTTATAAAAATCCACCTATCCCTCGGAGAGGTATTAGAGTTAAATGTTGGTCTCTCCTTTTATTGGAAAAATACCTAAACACTGACCTAAAATTGAAGGCGGAGCTTTGGTGTTACGTTAGAACACCTTTTACGTTTCTGCCCGACCCCGTCAAGAATATGAGTCAGTAACTTAGGGACTTGCACATCAACGAACTAGTCGACGTCAAGGTGATCTTCAACACCGCAATCCTTTAAATATACAGTCTAACAGTCTCACTATCGTGATCAGTTAAGTCAGTTAAGATTTAATCTAATTTTCTGATATGGTTAAAACCTTTTTTTTTTTGACAATAAATAGTCGTTTTGTTAAATTTAAAGCAAAAAATTAGAAATGATAGTACTGAGTCCTTGGGATCTCTTTGGGGTCTGTTTCACGTATTAGAGTCCAATAGTAGTCGTTCATCATCTGTGGAATAGTCTTCCGATGCTGGCAAGATCTTGGTGCAGCCGTTGGTCGGTGGAAAAATTATCTTTTAATCATTCGTTAGGTGTCTGACAACCATTGATTTTCCGAAATCATGGCCGACAAATATTTATTCCTTGATTTTTCCGTATGACAGCTTGGAAAACAAGTTGATTAAATACTGGAAAGACGAGCCTTTAGACGGTTGAAGTTTCCGATTTCCTGCTGCAATGATTTGTGTTCGAGAGTCAGGATATTTCCATTACTACAAACGTGAAGCAAGCAAGCAAATCACTTAGTTCACCTAGGGAAATTGGATCATCGCTGCTGTGCTTTTCTAGCCAAGGCTGTTTCAAAGAGTACCTCCAAAGAATCGGAAACGATAATGGGTCTGAATATTCCTACTGCAGCAGAGCATATCTTTTCCTTCTGCTTCCGGTATGCAGTGGAGAGATCTACTATAGAGCGGATATCAAACGAAAGCTTGACACCCGACAATCGAAGTTGGCATAGACTAATATGAGCGAGTGAGCCGCAATAACACTCGAAGAGCATGGAATAAAAGAAAGGCAATAAATAAGCGTAAGATGAGATGAATAACTTACTTTACTTACAGCAAAGTTGTGCTTAACGGCGGTCAAGCAGATCCAAATGCAAGCAGTGGCAGCCGTAGGAAGATTGTTTCACTGGTCTAGCAAAATTAGATAGTACTATCTGGCCGTGGTCCCGCATGAGGTGTACCTATAGCGACTAATACGATTCGTGTATACCGTTCGCAAAAATACCGTTGTTTGAAGATTTTAAATTTCCCATTTTTGCGGCATACTTTTAGGCACAGCAGTTTCCAGAAAAATATATAATACAGCTGCTAATTATGTACATACATATAATATGTTTAATTTTAATTATTTTCCATCACGGCAACATTTTTATGCAACGCTATATTGAATCAAGTGGCAACCCTTGCTCCAACTTTCTCGTGCATCCCCAATTTAGATTGAAATTGTAAACAAAAACACTCTACCAGCGCTCTCTTGACGCCATTCTGTCATTCTCGCCTATTTCGCGTAACGCGTGTTCTCACAGTATATGCGGGTGTTGAGTTAGCGCCACACACACACCCCACCAACAGCACGCAAACTTACATACATACATATTTTTTGAATCTAAGCGCCAACTCGTAGCGCATGTATTTATTTTGACTGCGCCCCAACTACAACAATGCATTTGACTGTCACTACATAAGCGTAAATGAAAGAACTCATCTCGCTCGCGTCTCAAGTTGACGTTGTTGCTGTCAACATTGCTCTCGGAACGTTAATGTACTTACATATGAGTTGTTACGCGTAAAAATGATGTAAGTGCATTTTTTCAGTGAAAAGAATTTTAAATCACATCAAATCTAAGTTTCAGTTATGGGTTGTCAAATACCGCTTTTTTGCTCTTCATTCAATGCTTTATAAAAAATGTTACAGTGATCGGATTTAGTTAAAATATACGCCGTTTTGTTCGATGATCTGTCTCCATCTAGACGGCAACTTCATAATACCTTCCTCGTAGAATCCCCCCTCCTTATTTGCGAAGAATTCGGACAGCCACTTTTCACAAGCCGATTTTCATAAGAAAATTTTTTGTTCAGAGTCTATGGAGAAAATTACAGAGCCATGATCAATGATTTTTTCATATTGCACGAATTGACGGATGTTGCTGTGGACGACCATTGGTTCCTACAAGACTGAAATACCGCCAAGGAAACAAGCAAATTGTTAAAGAAAACTTTCCTTTAAGACAGTGTTCTGCTTTGGGGGCTTAAAAATGCATTTCTCATTGGCCAATTCGACATATTTTGGAAACTAGTTCAGTCTTAATAGCCGTGCGTCGAGCATGTTCGAATGTTCGGGCAGACTTTGCAGCGCGTTTTCATTTTTATAAGTCTCATAAAACGGCGACTGTGCACAAAAATATTTGCCCGATCGAAAAAGTCAAGGTGATGTAGCTTCAATATTAAATTATCTACTATTTGAACTAAAAAAAGTAAAAAGTTTTTTTGCAGCTTGAAGTAATTGTTTTTTTTTGGAATTTCTCTTTGAAATGTGTTAATTTTCTTCTTCGTATTTTTTTAGTTCATATAAAAAAGCATTCACAAAAATTAATAGAAAATTGGTTCGATTGTTTCAAATGCATCGGACGACCTCCACTACCCGCATCGTTTCACGAGTCATATGGATAATTCCAATATTTTTTTTGTACTAAAAATATAATTTATATATATTTTTTAAAACTTAAGTATAGTATATTATTGCCTAAAAATTTCGTTTATTACAAATTTTCCTTCCGTTCCAAAAAAATTGCTGTCAAAACGCTTTTTCCCGGGTTCTACGGTCTCCTGTTTTAATTGCTAAAAAATCGTTTATGCCGAAATGAAATTAGATATTTTAGAAGTACGAGAACTTCATAATCACCTTTCTAAATCATTATCAATATTTTCGGATATTATTAAACGCAAATCATTTAATATCTTGAATTATTGCCAAAAAAATGGACTTACGCCGTTTTCATTGAAAATCGCTCGTGCATTTGTATTCGTACTACTCAGTAAATTTTAGTATGTGTCGATATGTACTCATTTGCTTCCGCTCATTCACCAAGCCTCGTCAAGTTGGGGGCTGGCTGGCTGGCTGGCTGGACTGGCACTCTCTCTCTTTTGGAGCAATCAAGATTCAGTCAGTTTTCAGAAGCGTTGCGTTGCGTTCAGTTGTAATCTCATGCAAAGAATTTGTGTTAAAAGCAATGTGCAAGCAAGGAAAATTACTCATTAAGTAAATGTGAATTAATGCAATTGAAAATATGAGAAAAAATTCAATGAGAAAATGCAATGATTGAATGAAATGTAAAAAAGTGAATTAAATGAATGATTTCAATTGAATTAATTGAAGATGAAAAAGACCCTAATAGAGCAAACAAAAGCGTGAATAATTTGTGTATTTCGCATTTATACTTATATACAAACATATGTATGTACATATGTATGTATATGAGTTCGATTGTTCCTGCATGTGTTTGTGTATGTGCGTTGGGAATTGAAGTACTTGAAGAAAATCTTTACTAGCCGTTATATGTTGTTGTTGTTGTTATTGGGATACACTTTTGGGTGGCGACGACCACAGTAACTCGAAATTCTACAACGATTTCAAATAAAAACAACAACTACAACTATCAGAACGTCAACGACAAAGCTCAAAGGCGTTTTTTTCCTGTTGTTTTTGTGTGGAGTTGTATTTGTACAAGTAGAAAATGTGTATGTGCCAGAAAGTGAAACGAAAACGGGAACACGCCTTTTGAAGCCAGTGAAGCCAGCGAAGCCAGTAACCATCAGCTAGGCAGTCAACAGCAGTTAGCGAGCGACCTAAGCCAGCCGAGCAGCGCCTAAACATTGAAACTGCCAAAGTATAGTACATATAGTATAATACATACATATATGTATGTGGATACGAAACTATACAATCAGAACGTGCGAGCAGGAATTTCAAGCGCAGCCTTAAATGGTAGGATAGCCTAGAAAAGTTAACTGCGAAAGTTGTTTAAATGCCAAATTTAAATCGCTAATAGAATAAACAATAACTTTATATATGTAAATATATCATGAATATACGCATGTATGTACGTGCGTTTGTAGATTAATTTAAATTTAAAAAACCGTTAGTTCATACCCAGCTTATCTACGCTTAAGCATATTGGACTGAATTCCCATATTTATATCTGTCTGTATCGTGTCTCCATACTTATTTTTTTTCGATAAGCAAACAATCACTGTTTTTGTTGTATTTCAATGAGTCAGAAGTTATTTCTCGTTATTTCTTTAAAAGCAAGTAGCTTGAATAATAACTAGTTGAAAATTCCAACTCGAAACTGATAGGCCAAGCAAGTCCAATTAGGCAGTTTACTGTGTGTTTTTTAAACAACCAGGAGCAGATTGGCCAAAAATAGGAAAATTTTAAGCGCCCTATCCAACTATAATCCTTTCTAAATACAGGCTTAGCACCGGCTTGAGCGGAGTTATTAAAAACTAATATTCAGAAGATTAGAGGGACAAACTCTTCTTTATTAAAAAAATAATACAATAAAAATTGTAGAATTGTAGATATATTGGAATTCAGAAAAAAAAACATATTATAATTAAAAACTTATTGTTAATCTTCTAAATTTATTTTATTTTATTTTATTTTATTTTATTTTATTTTATTTTATTTTATTTTATTTTATTTTATTTTATTTTATTTTATTTTATTTTATTTTATTTTATTTTATTTTATTTTATTTTATTTTATTTTATTTTATTTTATTTTATTTTATTTTATTTTATTTTAATATATTATTTTATTACATTGCATTGCATTGTTATCACTTTTCGATTAAAATATGTATTTGTTTTTAATGACTGCATTTGCGGTTTTCCTCATGAGGTTGCGTTTATACATATTTTTGGTAAATTCCAATATTTTACTAAAAGAAAATTATTTTTATATGCAGAGTATTCTTTTTAACTTATTTTCAAAGATTTATTTTGCTGAATATTGCATATCATTCTCAGCAAATTGACATTATTTAATTGAGGCTATTCTTATCAGAATTTTGTTTCATCTCAATTTACCAAGATCATTCTTATTGCTTTAAAGTGCATACCGTCGTTATTACTATACATACAGTCCGTACGAGTATGTATATACGTGCTTGTGTGTTTACATTTGTGTACCTACTCTAGGTCAATATCCTTTGACCCAGTTTAAGCGATGCTTTTCCGCATCCGAGTTTTTACGCTTTCAACACTTTTCATTGTGTTCTTTTCTCCACAAGCGATGTCAGATTTTGTGGTTATACTTTGGTCATATTCTTATAATTTTCATGTCACAAATAATTTTATGACAGCAAATTGTTTGCATTCAAATTGTAGATAAAGTTTACATACGTTTGTGTTTGTGTTCAATAAATCAAATTGTCCGAGGATATTGCTCGTGTGCGATTGTTTGCACAAGCAGCTGCTTGCCTGCGACTGTTCGGTTCATTCGGTGGCCAGTCAATTTGGCAGCCTGCCCGTCTGCGCTTTAATGTAAACGCCTCAAAGTGTGCTACAGTTATTTGCTTACGAATGAGTTTTCTTTTCATTACAACGATACGAACTTATTTACAATGCTGACAATTTGATGACCTGTCTGTTATATACAGTGACTATTTGCCTATCCGACTGTCTGGTTGAGTATTCTTATCAAAACATATACAGTTGTAAAGACACATGTATGAGTATATACATATGTATACACATTCATGCTTCATTCGATTGTGTAGTAGCCAATACCAGTGGTTGCTTCAAAAGCGTGCCACATGCGCTTAAACGCCTCTTTGTATGCAAAAAGCTCTCTTTTCTCTCTCACATCGATGCTCACACTCTCATTTACTTCTACTTCTTATCGGCCATCGTTAGATGTACATATGTATATGCACAAAATTATATGTATGTATGTATGTACACACCCTCAAACTCTCGCATAGATTTTTGCTTTTGATTTGTTAGCGTCCACTTGCTTCTAGCGTAGCGTAGAAAATCGTGTTGCATGCTAGTTTTTGCTACTTTTATGTGGACATACATATATACTCGTGTGTACATATTGTGTTACCTCGTGTCCTGTTATCTATCGTGTGTTGTGTCGTATTATATTTTTGGGAGTTGTCCCATTGATGCCTTGTCGTTTAATATTTGTGTGCTTGCCTCAAACGTTTTTTGTTGTCTCTTGCTGTTGTTGTTGTTGTTGTGGTTGTTTATTTTTCTTGTTAAGGACACCTAACCTACCTTCGGCTCAATTTGAGTAAGTGTGCTGAGGTTGTACGCACGACAATTACAACTACATAGAACCAATATAGTGAAATACGCTACTGTGTGCGTGTCGTTATATACATACTTGTGCATACATATGGAATATACATACATACATATGTATGTATGTATCCACGTACACATAGTGATTTTAAGCGCCTTATGGTATGCCACGTCTCTAAAATTCAATCTAATGAAACAATGCCTAGCGAAAGTTGTCTATCAGAGATTATTCTTGTTTGTTCTAAATCCTCGCATTGTTGCATCTCTGGTGTTGGAAAATAATAAGACATAAATAAGAATAAATTTTACACTATTTCTTTGTGTATATACCGATGCGTACATATGTACACACATTACTTTAGGATTGGCCTTAAGAGAGGTATAAAAGAATTTTCCTGAATTTACGCCGAAAATTTCCTCATTAAGTTCCATTTGAATATAAAAATATTAATTTTCATTTTCTAAAAAAAAAAAAAACAATGTTTCCCAATTGATTTTGGAGCCTCTACTATTAATTTTTGTTACAAGTTTTTTGTGGGCGAAAGGCTTATTTGTTTATGTGAGTAGATTACCACATCTCCTCATCAGACTTCTTCTGGCAGTAATCGAACCAACAGATCCTGACTTAACAGGCGAGTGCTCTGCCACTGAACCAACATCAGCCTTGTAATCTATGTATTAAATCACATCTATTTTCGCTTCTGCAAGAAATAATTCAAATTTTATACAAATTTTGAACGAACTTCTGACGCAGCATAGTTCTATGTGTTCTAAGAAATAAGTTCGAAGAGCAATCGTACGCTTGCACACAAGTGCGGGAGTATTAAAAGGACTGACAAAGTGAATGCATCAGTCTCATTGCGAAATATGTTCGAATAAAAACAGAACCCACGCTTGGGAGCTAAGCATACTCTGCCCAAACCACAAAAAGGGTGATCGACCACTCAACGCCAATAACCCGTGGGATAATATCGCATATAAGTTCCTATCGAACGATCTGTGTCACAAACAAAAAACTGATTGGACCTTATCAGTGTCTCTTTAGACCTGGTATAACAACCATTGAACAGTTATTCACCGTGCGCAAAATCTATGAACAGACCCGTAAAAGAATGACCCACACCTACGACATCATCGTCGTTTTTAAAGCAGCATGCCCACGAACAGGAGTTTGCCTCTTTGAACGGCTTTGAGCGAATTTAGTAATCCCGCAAAACTTATGTAAGCTGACGCTAAACAGCACCAAAAGCTCTGTCAGCATCGGGAAGGGCCTCTACGAGCCTCAAGACGCACTATCTGCTGTCATCGAACAAACAGTAATCGAATTTGCAACACAAACAATAATATCAGCCTTCAAATCCAACGCTGACTTACTCTTGCTAACATCTGCTACTTTGGACTGAGTAGACAATTGAAAAGTAAAGTCCACTCTCGGCGAACGAAAACCAAACTCTACAAATCGCTCATCATACCGGTCCTGCTATACGGTGCGGAGGCATAGACAATGAGGTTTATGGTCCTCTACGAGTTGGGAAAGACGCATACTGCAGCTGATGGAACGATGAGCTATACGAGATATATAGCGGCTACGCTGGCTAGATCATGTGGCCCGAATGGATGAAAGCACTGTCGATTTGAAAGTTTTATCGGTGGAAGCCGAGGAAGCCGAGGAAGGGGAAGACCATCACTCCGTTGGAAAAACCAGGTAGAGAAGGACCTAGCATAAACTTGGTATCTCCAATTGGCGCCAAACAGTGAAAAAAAGAAACGAATGGTGCAATGTTAAAAATTGGAAAAAGTAACGAAGAAGAAGCAGAAGAATTTACAAATGAGCACCCTTACGTTTTTATACATATGTATATACATATGTGGATGTCTATAAATCTATTTCTAATCTACTTCACATTTATGTAAATATTTTAATTTGGAGGTGTTGAATAAATGCAAAGGTGTGTTCAAAATAGAATCAGTGTGTATACGAACGTACACACATACATATGTATGTATCATCAACAGTCGAGTGTTATTAAAATAAACACTATACATGCATATGTGAATGTGTGGCTTTATCACTGCTCTTAAAATAATAGTATTTGTTTATATTTATTTGAACTAAGGAGTCTATAGAATTTCAAAAATGTGTTAAATATTTTGTTATTTTGTGGCACGCAATCATTTATTGTATACACCATGAATGCCACACCAATTTGTAAAATTCTTAATAAATGTTTTGTTTATACGTATGTATGTATATGTAGATAGGTAGGCATATACAAATTTAGTTTATCCACTAAAGTGTTTATTATTCTCTTAGTGGCTTCTTCGTTACAGACAATTTTCATTAATCTCAAGGGAAGGCCAAACACACCCTAATACTATTAAGACATAATAGACAAAATTTTTGGGAGTTGTAAGCTATTAATTGATTGAAACCAGAAATGTTAGCTGATATACACAAATGTGTATATTTACGAGTAGATATGTGTGTATGTATTGATTTTGTTTGAACTGATATGAAAATGAAAAAATATTCGGTGGGTAATTTAATTTCTTTATTAATAGGAAACCCCATAATTTTTTTTGGTTTTTATGTATTTTGCTAAATTTAGAGAATATAATTGGTGGTACATATGTATATTATAAACGAGGTGAAAGGAAAAGAAAATCAAAAAAGTCGTAATTAAGCTTAAACTTTTATTAAATGAAGTTTATTTCGTGGTTGAATGGGACCCGGAATTCCTAATGAATTCTGGCACTGGGGATCGGAGGCGTTGCCGGTCCTTCAAAAATCTGTAAAAAAATTCTCTTCACTTCTTCCGCATAATGCTGAAATAATAAGAAGCCGAGTCATTTTAAGATAAATTTGTTAAATATATGTACATAAATATATAAAAATATAAAACAAAGCTAAACGAGGAACAAAATACACTCACCAAGATGTAGCTGCTGCGGTTGTTGAACAAAAAAACTATGTTAACAATTATTTCATGTAATTCCTTTTTGATCATAAAGTTCAAACCCTTTTTTATGAAACGTTTCTTCTTCTTTATTGGCGTATGGCCGAATCAACAATAGGTCGCCATTCGGTTCATTTATTCGCTGTTTGGTGCCAGTTGGAAGGACCAAGTAAAACCTTGTCACTATCCAAATGATCCTTCCAACAGAGTGGAGGAGGTCTTTCTCTTCCTCTGCTTCCACCAGTGGGTACTGCATCGAATACTTTCAAACCGGAGTGCTTATACCCATTCGAACCACGTGACTACGAGTGCTAGGTAGCCGCTGTCTCTTCATTCCCTGAAGTCTGTCAATGTCATCGTATAACTCGTACAGCTAACGTTCTATGGTCTGCAGTATTTACCGTTTCCGATGCGTAAAGGACCATAAGTCGTTTGCAAAGCTTTTCTCTCGAAAACTCCTAACGCTGACTCATCAGATGTTGTCATCGTCCATGCCTCCGCAACTTAAAGCAGGACGGAAATTACGAGGGACTTGTAGAGTTTGGTTTTTCTTCTTCGAGAGGGGAATTGAATTTACAGTTGCCTACTCAGTCCAAAGTAGTAACTGTTGGCAAGAGTGATTCTGGTCCACCGATAAATGAAATTATATATAGCTTCAAAGGTAAGACTGTCAACTATAATGTGGGAGCCGAGTAGTGAGTCAAAACGCGGTTTTCAAGGGCTATTATATCAACGTCGTTGGCATACTGTACAATATTATAGAAGATTTTACCTTCTACATTCAGCTTTGCAGCTCGTATTCTTATCTCTACCATAAAATTGACGAAATCTCACTATGGAGAGTCAACCTATTCGAACCTTGTCATAGTCGGGTAACAGAGCGTTTTTTTTTCATCGTCACCGATTGGGATCTTCGGTTCAAAATCCCCGGGCGTTCCCTTTTTAATGACATTAAACAGGTTCGAGAAGTGTTCTCTCTCTCTATTTCTGTGGGCATCAGCCACTGGATACCCTTTCAGAGTCCTACAAGAGTTTGCTTCGGTCTTGCAACCTCGCCGTATCTTTTCGTAAAATTTTCTAGCATTCATTAGTGAAACCCTACATCATTCAATCTCAGGCCAGAAGGATCAATGAATATAGGATCCAGTAGCATTCGTCTTTTTCGGTTTCATCTAGCTAGGAAAAGACCACGGATAGCCTACTTCGAGTATGAACATATCTACTAAAACGTGTCAGTAGTCACTACAGCGTCAGCTGATATCAATGAATTGATTGCTGGCAATTCTGATTTAGAAATGCTACACTAAATAGGTTCCCTGAACGAAGAACAGAGCAAGAGTTTCCGCCTTTCATATCAGTTAGCGCTTTATTTAGCATGACATTGAGGACCAGTAATACTGTAGGCGGCCGCCGGTTTTCTATCAAAGATGGCCCTTTCTTTGTATTCGTTTGTATGAATTTTTTATCGCCTTGTCTCCGTCTTATTGGGGCGATGAGAAGAGGCTTCTTTCATTTTTACTTAGTAAATTGTGATATCCCAAGAATCTTTCCAACTGAGTGGAGGTCTTTCTCTAACGAGTGTTGCTACAATTACATTTAAAACTGTAGTTCTTTCATCCATTCGGACCACATGACCTAGCCAGCGAGACGCTGCTAATGTGCCATCGTCCATAGTCTGTGGTTCGCCATTGACAATGGGCAGAGGTCTTTGGATTTTCCGTAAAACCTGTACTTATAAGATGTTATTATTGTTCAGACATCGACAACATATAACAGGATCGAGCATTTACTTTTCAGTTGAAAGTACTTTTGTCTAAAACCTCGTTTGGTAAAAAAGATTATTCCCAATTGTGGCCACGTTTCTGGTGTCGACCAGCGTCAGCTCGTACAGCCGCATAAGTTTTGCAGAAATCCAATAATCGAAAAGGAGATTATGTGCGTCGACTTATTTCTCGCAGGTATTTGACGCATGGCTAATATCTGGTCAATATTATATTTACCAGGTCTAAGCCACCCTGGTTGAAAGCGGGCTTTATCCTTTCAAGCAGTGCATCCGATAAGACATTATATGCGATGTTGGAAAGCCTTAGGAGGGTCTTCTTATGAGTTGAACGGAGCACGATTAAGTTTCAATCGTCGGTCATGCAATCATCCGACTGAATTATGTAAATAATCTGATTTAATATAATTTCAATCCTAAAACTCTAATTTTTGACTTTAGTTCCTCAGCCAAATTCTCACGTAACGAGGTTCTTATTATTTAATTTCAGATTGTAATCAAACCGTCGGCTTCCTCAACACTCACTTATCACTAGCAAGCCATAAGTTCACTATAATTAGCCATCAATCATTATGGGTAAGGATCAAGAATTTTTGGATGCAGCACGCAATGGCAACATTACTTACATCGAAAAGGTGCTTAATCAACGCGCTAAGCGCGCCGGACCACTCGCCAGTCTACGACGCGGACCAGGTGTCAATGCGCAGGATAGCGGAGGTTACTCAGCTTTGCATCACGCCAGCATCAATGGACACAGCGACATAGTGCGGTTGTTGTTGAACAACGAAGCTTCGCCGAATTTGCCCGACTCACGTGGCTCCTCGCCGCTGCACTTGGCCGCTTGGGCAGGTCACCAAGATATTGTGAAAATGTTGTTAACACATCCGTTTAAGCCGGCGCAACCAAATATACAGGTGTGTGTGGAAAATCTCAATTTCTTTTATATTAAAGATAAAGCCGTTTAGTTACAAGTTTTCTTTTTTTCATACAGACCATCGAAAATGAGACGCCACTACACTGCGCCGCACAACATGGCCACACCGGCGCACTTGCAGTGCTGCTGGCACATAATGCCGATCCGAATATGCGCAACTCGCGCGGCGAAACACCACTAGACTTGGCGGCGCAATATGGCCGTCTGCAGGCTGTACAAATGCTGATACGTGCGCATCCCGAACTGATCGCACACTATAGTGTGGCAGCAATCGAGGGTGGGGAGCCTTATGCCACCGGACACCACCAGCAGCAGCAGCAGCAGCAACAACAGAAAACACGCCGCACCTCACCACTGCCACACTCGGGCTCGGTATCAACACCGTCACCCTCCTCACCATCTATTACTTCCTCGCCTGCAACACCAACACGTAACATCTTCCCGCACACTTGCCTGCATGTGGCCAGTCGCAATGGGCACAAAAATGTGGTTGACGTTTTGCTGGCAGCAGGTGTCAGTGTTAATTTGCTCACACCATCTGGTACCGCTCTGCACGAGGCGGCACTTTGTGGCAAAGAGTCAGTGGTGCGCACGCTGCTCAGAGCGGGTATCGACTTAAATGCAACGGATGCAGAGGGACGCACAGCGCTGGATATACTCAAAGAATTTCCGCCGCATGTCACTAAACATATTATCGCAGTAATTAATAGTAAGTGAAATTTATTTATTTATTTTTTTAATTAAAAAAACTCTTTTGTTCCAAAAATTCAGATTTCCGCAATCAAATGGACGTGGACGATGGCGACGAGGTGGTCGTCTTCCGTCATCAACATCCCCCACCACCGCCTCAACGTCAGAGCAGCAGTTTGAGTCACTACCAGAAACAACAACACAACAATCACTATCACTTCAATTCAAACAATCATTTACTCAATCATGCGCACTCACTGCAGCAGTCTTCCACATATGCCAGTAATGTTGGCACCGGCGGCGGCAGTGGTGGGCACAATAGTAAACAAAGAATCGGCAGTAGTCTTAATGGTGGCAAATCACTGGATAGCGGTCTCCAACCGGATCACTATGCATCTGTTGGACGTGGCGGGTATCACGAAGTGAACTCACCGGTCCACAGCACTTCCAATAATTCGCAGAAGTATGTTAAGCGTGCCATGAATGCGTTCTATTTTAATTATTTTCACCGCCCACATTGTTCACCTGCATGCATTAGAGGATTACTCTTATTATTTATTTAATATTAATTTATTTAATATTAATTACGTCATAACGTCACTAAAATTGCACCCTGTTCATTTTGTTGTGTTGTTATCTTAAATCGTTTGCAATATTTTATACATATTTAATTGCATGCCCATTATATATGTCTAGACATATATGTCCATATATATGTTATTTACATAAAAATAAATCATCGCTTTTATGTGAAAATATTTTACATTCATTATTTTCATTTATAAATATATGAGTAACAACTTTAAATTAAGTATTCAAACATATACAATAGTTTTAACTCATCACACTATGCCACTTTCATCATAATACCGCATATTTGCATTTTTTGAGAATATTTTTTGAAATTTTTTGGCTTTTTTTAGCTTGAAATATGAGTTAAATATATTTCCACGATAATCGAAACAAACAAGGCATGATTTTCGCGCGTTTTCATTGGCGGCCTAATCACTGTTATACAAGGTGCGTTGCAAAGTAAACAGGACTTTTAAAAAATAGACAGAACAAATGGTTTTATCGGCAAAATCAATTAATTTTATTCAAAATAGTCTCCTCAAATAATTGGCCACAAGCGTCGATCAATGAGACGCCGCATTATCGTGCAACAAAAGCCAACTTCCATCTTCGCGATATTCGGGGCGAACACGTCGAATACGGCGCACCAAACACTTCAAAACTTCAAGGTAGAATACCGCATTAACGTTTTAGCCGGGTGGAACAAATTCTTTGTGGACAATACACTTGATTTTTTATGAATTTACGCACAGTTTCGATGGAATTTTCGGTGATCACGGATTTTGGTTGGCCCACATGTTCATCGTCATTTATGTCCTCGCTACCACTTTGAAAACGTTGAAACCACTCGTGAACTCGGGATAGACAATCATCGTCATGAACTTGTTTCATCAATTGAAATGTTTCGATAAAAGTTTTATTTAATGTTGGCTCTTTGTTCGAAGCTTATCTTCGCACCGATGACAAAAACATACTGTCACTTAAATCACTTCACTTCCAATTGATGAAATGTCATGAAGTTTTTAGTGGAAGTCGATAAACTATAGCAGATTCTAATGCACTAGTCGACATATAGATGGGCCACTAGAGGGCACTAGATTCAAAAAGTCCTGTTTACTTTGGATCGCACCTTGTATGTAATACATTCGATAACAATTACTTTTGCATTATCAGGCGAATTACGACTAAATAGTTGCCGGAACTAATTGAATCAAAATGAAACGTCTGTAGAAGGGGTGGTTGGTATAGCGTACTGCATTTCGGAAGACCAGAGTTCACGCTTTGATTCGACCAACGTGAAAATTGTAGAAAACTAACTATTATAATTGCAATTACCACTCGGCAGAAAGTGTCAATCCCTCCGAGTGTATTTCTGGCTTGAAATAAAAGCTCCTCATAAGAATCCAACGGCCATTCGAAGGCGGTTTAGAATAAACTGTAATTCGCTCCATTTACTGGAAATCCATAAAGATGCACACCACAAATTGAAGGAAGAGCTCGGCCGAAAATCTCTTAAGCGGTCTTAAATTCATTTCTAAGTTTTCTACTATTTAAAGAAGAAGAAAAAACAGGAAATTCAAATTTAATGTGGAATGTTTATTATCATACGATAGCAGATTCTTTGACATTTATTTTTTTGTAGCTTATCGCTTTCATATGTTGGCTGCGGCTACGTCTCAGATGGTACATCCTTTGAGTCCGATTTTCGATGACTCGTTCGAGCATTTTGACTGGTAACAGGCGAATGACAGGCGTGAATCGAAGCGAGTTTGCCCGCATAGACTTTTTTCTCACAGAAAATAGTATAACGGTGTGATATTACAAGATCTTGGTTGGCCAATCGACTGACCCAAAACGTGAAATTATCTGCTTACCGAAGTGTTCTCTCCTTTAATGATGCAACGTGCGGAAAGTGGCGGCGTCTTGTTGAAACCAAATGTCGCCGAGATCACGAACTTCAATTTCAGGCATCAAATAGCTGGTTATCATGGCACGATAACGATCGCCATTAAAGGGTACATTCTTACCGGGGAACTTTTCAAGGCAGGCGGAGCGGCTTCTGCCCTTGCACGAGCAGATAATAAACACTAGAAATTTCTGTGAGCTGATGATCTTTTTTTTATTGAAATTGAAATGAGACTGATTTTTTTGAAATATGTCAAAATTATTCTACAACTCTGCCATCCCCTTCAAAGCAGTCCTCTTGGGCAGCTATACAACGATTCCAGCGCTTTTTCCATGCTTCGTAACATATCTGGAACGCTTCGACTGGGATGTCCGCGAGGATGATATATCGGGCGAATAAGGCAGTTGTTGCAACACGGCGATCCCTTTAGAGGCCTAATACTGAAAGACGCTGAGGGCGATGAGTTAAGAGCGATTTCTGGGCGCACCCTGTTGACTCATTTTCGCAATCTTCATCTTTCGAGTACTTGGTGATAGTAAACCCAATTTACGGTTTGCCCCGTTGGAAGAAATTCTATCAAAAAGGCAATAATCATCGTTTTCTCCTTCGACTTGCTCCTGCGAGCTTTTTTCGGGCGAGGGGCGTGCGGAGGCAACCATTGTGAGCTTTGGCTTTTGGTTTCCGGGTCGTATTGTAAAAGTCAGCTTTCTTTACAGTTTTAGCGTACGTTTCAGTAGCTGTTTCACCCAATTTGGCGTAAAATATTATCGCGACGCATTGCTCTTGATTTCATTTTTCCATTTTCGTGACGAGTACCACGAACACACTTTCACTTAACGCGACACGGCATGGGAACTAAACAAGCCGGGATAAGGGAAAGGGAATTTCAAGATCGCAGGGTTACCACAATCGCCGCAATATAATCAGTCGCAATACTAATTTCGAAGTAAGATTTAGTATTTCTTCTCGAATTTAATTTCCTGTATAATTTTTAAACTACACTGTAGTATCTCCACATTTACAGTTTGTATATAACGCATCAGATTTACTTTATTTGATAATGCGCATGCGAAGACCCTATTGTTGCTGAGAAGCAGAGTATCGAGGAACACTCGAATGGATGTATGGTCTCACTAAATTGTAGCTGAACCCAACCACTTTATGGAAGGTTTTATGAAATTAACTTGGTTTGCGGGTTTACAAAATCCAACTCGTGCAAGCGCTTCGAATGTTCGATGATGGCCACCGATCCCGATTTTCACGACATTTTTTTTCTTTCTGTGATGATGCACAATTTTTGTTGAATTAGGAGTGTTGATAATCCACAAGCCGTTTTTAAGACACCATTACATAGTTGACGCTTTGTAACCGCTGAACATATTTTCGGCCGAGCTCCTCATTTTATTTGTGAAGTACGCGTCTGAATGTTTTCCGACCAAATAGAGGGATGTACAGTTTATTCTATGCTGCCTTCGATCGACACCTGATTTTTCTCAGTAGCTTTACCACTTTTTGGTGTGCTTTATGGGCAGACGGAATCAAAAATACATTATCTCGCGTCATGAGCCTATGGACTATTTTTTGTGGGGTTATGTGAAGTCGTATGTCTACGTAGATAAGCCCGAGATTATTGACGATTGAAGTGGAAGAAATAAATTTTTAAAATGATAACATATATATCAAATTCCATTCAATGGTGAGACAAATGGATTGACTCATGCCTCTCTGTCCGTCCATCTATCAACACATGCCTTGGGTCACAAGTACGAACGGTATTGCAAATGGGTGAAAATGAATATCGCGTTGATTCTGAAACTAAATTTGGAATAAAAATCATAGTTTTTTTTAAGATGATCGCGTTAGATGGAAAATTCGAGATGGAGGGCAGTTCTGGTTCAAAAAAGTGTTATCTCAGAAACTACTACATAGCATTAGATAAAATTTAATACCGATGGTTACACTAAGCGCACGATTTGAATATAGGCGCAATCTGACAGAAATCATGACATAAATCTTCCCAACACCGCTGAGGAGATCTTATCGAGCACACAGTATGTGTGAAAGACCAAAGGCTGACGTTAACGAATTGATCGGATCTTATCTGTGTGGGTTTTGATCTACAATTGACCATACTCGCTATGCGACAAATCTTGTAATAAATCCCCGAATAAAGAATGGACACACATTACCTCTTCGTCTTCTTTCGGTTTCTATTTTCCAACGGTTTCTAGACTTAAGATTGAATGTTTAAGGACGATAAACGAAAAACTTGTTTTTACTTAATGACTAAGATAGTTACAGTGAGATCCAAAAACTGTGTGCCCACAAACAGTGCGTTTGATATATGCATACATAAATATCAAGCAAGTATCTAACGGTGGACGCACTAACCGATTTTCAGTGCGTAATACTTTGCGGAAGGTCAAGGGTTCGAGTCCTGGCTCGACCAACCTTAACCCTTCGGAATTTCAACTCCGATGTCGCTATGTTTGTCTCGATGAATTTCGAAAGTATTTAACTTCTAACTTTGGTCCAGCTTAAGAGAACCTATCCAAACTAAAAGCGGTATTTATAATTTAATTTAAATACTTCAAATATATATGTAGATAGCTCTTAGCTTAGGTTAATATGGGGAAAACTAATGTTGCAGCAAGTTTGTACCAAGTATCATCAAGATATCCCAATAGTTATTCAAGTTGTTGATAACATTGGCTGAAGGACGGATGAAAGAACTGCCAGGTAGAGCTAAAATAGATTCATGTTGTAGTTCCTGTTGTATCCGCAAAGCGGAAGTGACAGTCCTTGGACGGATAAGAATCCGGATTGAACCATTATACATACCCTATAGGCGCGGTGACTATTCGATTTAAGTTGCCTTTACGGTTGAGGATGCGATTTAAGGGTACACTGAGTTCTTACAACAAAATCTGTACTCAAAAGGTGCAACTGCGAGTGGACGTCGGTCTTAAAACATACTATTGGCTATATAAGATTTATATTATATATATATATATATTTTATGATTTATATAGTCAAAAATGTAAAACGAAAACTTATTCGTCTGTCAAAGCTGTGCTCAGTGTCCAAGTTGTACATACGCTCCGAATGTTCCCTCTAAAAGCAACCTTGGGTTACTCGTTGCAAAGCAACTGCAGGACGGCATTAAGCATTAAGCTCACTACGTACAACGAAAAACGAATCGGAAACGACGAAATTAATACTTAACGAGGCTCTACACAAAGTGACCGTTTCGTGGGACTTCTTTAACCTACTGGTAGAGCAAATGAAATGAGTTGCAGACTGCAAAGCTAAACTCAGACGGTACAATATTTTATAGAACGTGCGGCAAAAGTTCTGTGTGTCGATAAAATTGACACTGTCGACCTCAAGAATACGGTGTTGATTTTTTGCTAACCCGACTGCCGCCACTTACGACAAGCATTTCTTACCGCGGCAAAATTCTCGAACGGCTATCCCAGAGGAATGAAAATAAACATTCGATTAAGTTCATACATATATATTTTTCCCTTAGATTAAATTTTCGCAGTCGGATTTCGAGGGAATTTTAACTAGAGTCTTTCAAAGCGATGCACAACATCGCCAGATTCTGAAATCTCTAGCAGAAATACGAAAACGCTTTTCATTTGCATCCATATTATTCGATAAACTCCAAACGATTCGCATGAGTTTGAGTTGAGGTATTGAAGTATTAGCTCATATAGGAATTATATTTATTCAAGTCATCTGTTCATAACTTTAGTTTATTAAAAATCAACCTACTCACATTGCACATAAATTACTCACCGAGAGATAATATCAATTTTATGACTTTTAACGATTTTTTCTTGAAACAAATCTCCATCTCCACACCTTACGTAAACTGGACATACATTGACGCGTAGTGAAATGGGTGTGAGTCCTTCGTCGTCGATGAGTAGTTTTGAGCCAGTTTCGGTGTCACCACGCTCACGCTCTTCCACTGGTAATCATAGAAAATAATTATAATCAAAATCCCAAATTGAATTTAATTCGCTTCAACTCTCGTCCCTTTTCGCAGGCGGCATAATCGCCAATCCCATGCACATGAGCACTTTTGCACCGGTTGCACCGCCGAAAAAGCCACCGCGTCGCAACTTATCCGTTTCGCCCACCCATTCTGGCCAACAGTTCAGTTACACTTCGCCAAATCATAACCAACATAAGCAACAAACGCGCACCGGTCAGCAATATCATAGTCCATCTACGGAGAGTCCCTATAGCGGTCATCAGAGTCATGGTAGTGTGGGTGGTATGAGTTTCGATGAGACAACGCACTTGCGCGAACGTCAGCGAGGTGAACGTCTGCATGCGAGTGCACGAGAGAATGCACGTTCGACGACGGGCGTACTAATGGCGTCGAGCTCAAGTATTAACTAATCGAATATGTTTAATTAATTTCGAATATAACCGTGAAACAATACTCTTACTTGTATTTGCATAGATGACATGTTGGAACGCATGAATTACAGCAGTGAAGAACGCGCCGATTCTACGGAAGGTGGCGGCACTTCAAACTCCATGAAACGACCACTGAACAAGTCGCATGAAGTGAGCAGTGAAATTATAAATTGTGAGAATCCGACACTCAAGTCATATAATCCAAATAGGAAGCTTAAAAGGAATCGCAATAGTTAGTAAGTGTTTGTAGTGAAGCGGAAACGTTTTCATTTTAAATGTATAATCTCAATTTCTGTTACACTTTCAAGCTCGCTTAGCATCAGCGACACCAAAGAGAACAAGAATGATGGTAAGCCGCAAATACCACTCAGTCCGACGAACTATCAGCAACCGCCAACGCCTGATCACCCACCACCCTCTTCCAGTCAAGCCGAACGCACGATACATGAGCGCATACGACCGCTCAGCATGGAGTATAAGCGGCGTTCGGCGCTCATACAGCTACAACAACAACAAAAGCAACATAGTAAAAGTATGATCGATTCCAGCACCTCACCAGCAAAACATTGGCAGGCGGCGCTCATACCAACACCCACATTTGATTACCCCGTTGGCAGTCTGTCACCAAAGCACAGCGTCAATGCGTGACCCACCACTACAATGTGTAATGTGCGACGCAACGTCGGCAGTGGTGGTGGCGGCGGCGGCGGCGGCGGCGGCGGTATACAGGGTTCCTCTGGCTCGCTTAGCTCCAGCGTTTCACTCTCCGATCACAGCCTCTCCACCGATTGCGTGGAGGAGTTTATTAGTGACGCACCATTTGCTGGACTCTTCAAGGGTTCGAGCGTTAATTTACGACATGAAAAACGTACAATGGGTAACCGTAAACTGGGCATACCGTCAGCAGTACGAAGCGTATCCGCATCCGCTGCGGAGGGTCAATCACAACAACAGCAACAACGTACACGCCCACCTATACCCACCAAACCCGTTTTGCCAGATTGTAATAAAATGCTCAAGTCAATGTCCGTCACAGCCAAGGAAACCAAGACGTTAAGTACTCAAGATGATTGTGATTTGACTGAGACCCGCAGCGATAATACCAGTCACGTAAGTCAAGGTGTAAGCATTTGTTTGGAAGGTGAGCATAGTAATGGTAATGGGAATGGGAATGAGCACAATATATGTAACGACAATGGTAATGAAGACATGGAGGCAGCTCTATCGGCGATTACAGCGGCCACCACCCAGAGCAGCGGCATACTTAGTCCCTTCAATGCCGAGGAGGCACGTAAGAAGATCTCAGAAATTATCGAATCTTTCGGCAGCGGTATTTTGAACACCACTTTAACACCCACAAACGATATTGACTTGGAGTTCGACGAGGGTATCGAACCTGCGGAACGACGTGAGTTGGCTGTGCGTTTAAGAAACGTGGGTTTGTTACATTTGGAACGCATGCTCTTCGAGAATGGCTACGACAACTATAAATTCATGGTAAGTAGACAGAAAACTTTGTAATTTTGTTTCTTACAATTACTGCCATTCTCCCAGAATGGGGTTTTCGAGTCACACGACACTCAGTTGATGGATATACGAATACCGGATGCCACCAAATTGATTTCTTTCGTACTAACTTTACCGAGAGCTGAATTTCAACCACAAATTATAGCAACAAATAAACAGAAAAACGGTAAATCCGATAAGAGCGACGACACAACGATGGAGAAAAAAGGCGTGGCAACACTTAGTGAGTGGTTGCAAAGTATTAGCTTGCCCGAGTACATTGAATCGTTCAGGTAGTTTGAATTTAATTTTATAAACAAAATTTTTTAATAACAAATCTCAAAACTGTAATTTTCCACTTCCCCAGCAAGCATTTATATAACACCATTGATAGCGTTTGTGGTGTATGGGATGTGGAACTGCAAACAGTTTTGGAAATCAACAAGTTGGGTCATCGACGACGCATACTCCAATCGGTTGCCTACATAAGACAAATACGTGAGCCAAATAAAACCGAAAAATCTGGTGAAAGTGAAAATAATGGAATTGGAAAAATAAGCCCAGCCGCCAATGGTGACTGTGGTATGAAAGAAGCTCAGACCAAACCGCAGCAGGCACAGCCACAGCAACGAACATCAATTACGGGTTATAGAAAAAATCGGTACGTAATTAATATACGTAGATATTCGGCAGCAGTAGCCGAGTTGTTAGCATTTCGTAATAACATTATTGTTATTTGAAAAGCCTGCGATTCCGGTAGATATATTTGACATTTGACAAGTGAAAACTAAGCCAGTAATAAAGATGGAACGATACACGCTTCAACAACGCATTTTTTGGTCATCGGGAAGCGCCTTGTCGGATCGCAATACAGAAATGGATGGAAAAAATAGAGCTGTTGGGACAAGTCAGTGATGCGTAGAATAAAACACGTGCACGTCGGTCCATAACAACTGAGAATATTACTGCTGTAGCCCAAAGTTTTGAAGAAAACCCAGGTCCTTTACTCGTTGTTCTTTGAAATATGGCAACCCACAAACGTCATTACACCGCATTTTACTTAAAGACTTGGGCCCTAAGACCTATAAAGTTCGGTTAATATAAGAACTCAAGCCGACCGATCATCAACAACGTCGGGTCTTTGCTGATTGGATCCTTGAAATGCACAAAAATGATCCGAAACTTCATCGAAAAATCATCTTGACTAATGAGGTCCATTCCACTGTCGCATTTAAGGCTCGGAAAACCCAACATTTTTTTTTGAATCTCAACGTGTAACTGTTTGGTTGCGGTGTATGGTCCGACGGGGTAATTGAACCTTACTTTTTCGAAAACGGGGCTGGAACAATAGTTACGGTGACTAATGATTTTTTATAGCTGAAATTTGGATGGTATTGATCTGGATAGGATTTACTTTCAACAAAATGCCACTACGTGCCACACAAGCAACGAAACCACCGATCTTTTAAGAGAATAGTTTCCGGACCGTGTTATCTCTCGTCGAGCTGATCGAATTTAACGATCTAGATCCACGTGAAAGATAAGGTCTACGTCAACAGGTCAACGTCAATTAAAGACCTCAAATGTGGCATTCGTAAAGCTATTGAGGGCATATCGCAGCCACTTTGCGATTTAGTGAAGGAAAATTTGATGAAAAGTATGCGTTCCTGCAAGCACAGCCGTGGCGGTCATCATATTGTTTGCCTTTATTAATGGCTTTACATTGAAAAAAAAAACATCTGAAAATTTATCTCAAAAAATGCGACTTTTCTTCGAAGATCAAAATAACACCTTTTATTAGAAGGCCTTGTATATACATATACATATTATATATGTGATTCATTATAAGATTTCATTGATTTCTCCTCTTTCTCTCTTCCTCTCTCTATCTCCCTCACACCTCATCGCTATTTAGACCTGCACCGCAACCGCCTTGTGAGAAGCCCCAACAGCAAGCTCAATTGCAAATACGCGCACCTTCCGAATTACTACTGGGTTTGCCAGCAAATTTACGCACAAAATGGCGACACTCCGCCAATGTTTTACTCAACGAACAAATTAAATATGAAGTTTATGTGAGTATACCTAGTGTAGTAAGAAAATAGATTAGTAACTATGCTAAATTAAATCTCCATGAGTATAGAAAAGTGTTAGACAGAATCTAAGTGTTTTGAAGTTTTCTTCAAGCATTTTTTATTTATTTTATAAATATAGTATGTTGTAACTGAAGTTCTCCCATCTACCTCATTTTACACAGTATCTCGGCTCAACGGTTGTGAAGGAGTTAAGAGGTACCGAATCAACACGAAAATCGATACAAAAACTGAAACGTGATGAATCCGCTGATCAACAAACATCGCTGAATAATCGTAACGGCAAAAATAATCGGACGAAACCAGCGCTCGTCTGTTTAGCCATATCACATTTGGGCGTTGAATTTATCGATGTTAATAGCAAGGTTAGTTCCTAAACTGTGGGGATATTTTATTACACAGCTTTCGAGGGGAAGAGGCAGGTTCACTGCCTCTTGTGCGGTGTTCGTTTTGTGAAATATAAGCCCTACCATCGCTGGTAAGATCCCTTGCAAAGCCCTAGATAGTTTGCCGACATTCCTTGCGGTCTGAGACCTTAAATTACTGTGTTGTGAACAAACCACTGTGTCTTCATTGAAGTGGTTTTTACGGCTCTGAGCTTAATTAACATCTGCCGGAAAATTGTTAAGAGATTCCGTTTTGATGGCATAAAAAGTTTGCTGTTATTGCACTTAGTCACAGCGCTCAAGTGGTCATCCTTGAAATGAAAAATCCTAAAAAACATAATCCATACACGATGAAATCCAGATAATCTATAGACCCGACACAATCCAAAAAATATGCACAGCACCATCCATTGAATCGCTGGAGTTTTTTAATTAATTTCATATACGAAATTGTTTATTCAGATAACGGTTGTATGAATATGCAATAATAAAAATTGGCGTTTTGCATTGATTCATCTGACTCCGTTTTCTGTTTCAAAACCTATTTACGAGTGCTTTAAATTATTAAATAATTACCTTCTCCTTTTCTTACATAATTAATAGCAGTTGCGTTGAATTTCCAAGCTGAAAGTGTTGTCGGTATTAACTCTGGTACGATAGACGAAATTGTCTACTACTTCAAAGTTATGACTGTCAAATATGGCATGGGTGCAGAGTCGAGAACGCAATGACTGTTTCTTTGATGACAGGAGATATTTCGTCTTGTCCTCGTTCTCTACCAGACCCATTCGCCTCGCTTCTTTATCAAGCCTGGAGAAAGCAGAACTCACAACGCGTTTATTCATTTTTATTGAAGATTTGTTTTTCTCTATACAGCTCTTATGGTCTTATTATTTTCTCCAGCAATAGATAAAGGAAGTTATTTGATTTCACAATTGATTTTTCCATAGTTGGGCAATAAAACATCTGTTCCGTCGTAGGGAATCATGTTCGCCATCTCCAGGTGTTTCATTTTCACTGCTCTTCAGCATTCGGGAGAAATTATCTCTCCATAAATTCAGTATAATCTGGGCATCAATTAATAGATTACGTCTTTGGTTACTACTAGCGCATATCTGAAACCTTCTATAAGTCGCCGCAAACATAACCCCTGTCGGTCAGCTTTTCATGCTCTTCATAATCACGCATCTCGGCCTATTATTCTGCGCATGCATCTCGCATGCCTTCTTTAGTGCTCGGTATCTATCTTACCCCGCACGTCCACGTCCGGCGCGACAATCCTCAACTTACTACCTGTTCCAACCAACTAACTGTTTCGTTTGCAGCTGTATGTTGAACTTTGAAATGTGGCCCACAGTCCCCCAAAAACCAGTTGCTGATGAGCTATCTTAGATAACAGCAGTGCATGTCGATTAAAAACTCATTCGGCTATGTTTTGTGAGTTGACGTTGAGTACTCGGAGTGTACGCATGTCAAAAACACTGGAGACATGTCGTACGTCTATCACAACATGATCGATTTGACTGTAAGTTTTTCGAGCTGGAGACAGCCAAGTAGATAATGAATTTTCTTAAGCTGGAAGCTGGGAATGCTCCATCGTAGAAACGTGCAGTTGTGCCGTAGGTACCTTTCTTGGCCACCTTGGCATTAAGATAGTCAAGGCAGCGCTTCTAAATACCCTTCAAGCGTTCATAAATCATCCTTCTCTTCCGCCGGAGGGGCGTGAGCGCAAACGAGCGATACGTTAATGAGCTTAACTTTTATGTGGATTGTGGCGAAATGCGTATCCACCACTTATATGTATGGCCGCTGTAGTATATGTCACAATGACCTCTTCGCCTCCATCCTTGTTTCGTCCATCGAACTTCTTAGACGTTGGTAATGCTCGCCTTTTGTCTTACGAGGGCGAGCTGGGGGCGCTTTCGCAAATAAAGAACCGGATAATTAGGTCATGATAACATTCTGTAAAACGTGTTTTTATTAAAAAAAATTAATTTAAATAAATTTCTCAAAAAATATTGTTCTTTTTTTGTGCAGCAAACGATTTGTGAACACGAAATACAAAATATCAATTGCGCCTGTCAGGATTCAGATGACTTAAGACATTTCGCATACATCACCAAGGAACTGGATACACACTACTGCCATGTTTTCTATGTGGAGAGCACGGTGAGTGAGTGAGCGAAAACAGCCGCGTATATTTTTTTATAAATACATTAATAATTTTTATAATTTAAAACTCTTATTTTTTTTTTATATATATAAATTTTCTGCTGCATTCCACAGGATTTAGCCACCGATATCATACTCACACTGGGTCAAGCTTTCGAGGTCGCCTATCAGTTGGCTTTACGCGATGGTATTACACAGACCGCAGTGACAGCGTTAGGCGGTAACTCATTGCTAACTGGTGTGAAAAGTGGTGAAACAGTGACAGTTGAATGAAAATAGATGCAGCGGCATTAGAGAAATGGAAAACAAATTGTTAAATTACTAATTAGCTCAAACGATAGTTGTGTGAAAGGAAACGAAAAACAAAATTTGAAGAAATTTATTAAATATTATAAACGCTATTAGCCAAATTCTGCAGATTAGTAGTTAAGAGAAGATCGTTCGTTAAATGAATTGGTGTGTTTTCGGAATTAAAGCAAAAAAAAATTATTGATTGCATTTAAGAAAGAAAGAAAAAAATGTTGCTTAACTTAAAATAAAAATATATTACCTCTACAGCAATGTAAGTTTTAATTAGTTTACATTGTAAAATTTGAAAAAAATTTTTTGTATGCATTTTAAGTAATTTTAATTTTTATTTATTAAGAATTTTAGCGAATTTTTTTTTTGATATTTTTAATGCTTTTAATATACAATAATAAAAAGCTTGAATTTTAAATAGAGTTTTAATTTTTATATACAATTTTAATGTTAAAACAATATTTTCACAATAACACCAAACGTATTTACAGTTATTCAGACTGTATTTTTAAATGAATTTGCAAAAAGAAAAAATAAGCAGAAATTAATATAAATAAAAAAAAATATTTGTAACAAATTTAAGTAGTTATTGCTTAGTAAAAATACAATCAAAAATGCAATATATATATTTATTTCAATTTTTATAATTATGTACGTCTTCGATCTAATCAAAATATTTAAAACAAATTAGTTTATAATATTGTACTATTCAACCTCGTCACTTATATAAGACTGACAGTTTATAAGATTACGGGTATCATATAAAGACAGTCATTATAATTTTCCCATGAGATGGTGGGAAATATGAAATTTACAAATTAACATTTACACTTTACTTTAGTATAGTTTGAACACGATTACTGCAAAATATATGTATGTATAATATGTAGTTAAATTCTAATTGACAACTTTAAATCGCTAAATACTTCAAAGCAAAGAAAATGTTTTATAAATCAATTCTCACATTTTATTTAGTTTCTTTCTATGGACTTAAATGAGGTGGAGGAATGGACTCGTTAAGGTTTCACGACACATTGGTATCGAAGGAAATAAAAAGCTGAAGTACTTGCTAGGGATACTCCTCGCTTCGCCTTGACTGCTTTCTACCGACGCACACATACTCATACATAAGTTTGGTCTAGTAATACACAGCCCATTTTGCCCAGCATTAAATTAAAGGCTTTATGAACATAGCCTTAAATGAATAGATTAATGTTCATTCGAAAGATACCGCTGAGAAACTTCCAGCAGCGCTATGAAAAATTTACCAGTGGCTCCCAAATATTGAAGGCTTTTGACTTCAACAGTTAGAATAATCCGATTTATGTCAAATATGCAACGGCTTACTCGAAAACTTTTTGTCATTATGCCTCTCCTATAGAAAACCTTATCCCTATTGGCAAAAAATCGGTATCATCGATCTTCACAGGCTTCTCTTGAAGCTAATACCTCACCAGCCAAAGCATTCGCAATAGACAAGTACAGTTGGTAATCACTTGATGTGAGGCCTGGAATATAAGGTGGACGCATAAAAACCTCCAAACCAAGTTTTTGATGCTTCTGGCGAGTCGCTATCGATGCATGGTCCCAACGAAACACAATCCTCCTCCTGTTAGCTTCCTTCAGAGGAACGACTTAAGAGTTTGGCTGCAAGGCAGCACCTTATAGTGGATTAGTTCTTGCTAATCCCACTAAAACACACAACAAATCCTTCCTGGCCGTCAATCCTGCCTTGGAGATCGTTTGTACCGGTTCACTGCCCTTCTACCACGACCGTTTGTTTGTGTTTGACGTTGCTGCAAGTGATTTACTCTTCATTCCCAATTATCATCCGTTTCAGTAATGAATCGATTTTTTTACGATCCAGCAGCGATTCGAAGATGGAAGTAGAGTTCAAGTGGTTTTTTCTAGTAAACTCACGTGGCTTCCAAACATTATGGTACTTTGTGTATCCAGCCTTTTTTGAGTGATTTCAAACTAGTTCTTCAGCTCCTGGCAATTGAAACATTTTATCGACCATTGGTCTTCCCCACTTTCATTACTTATCTTTATCACGCTCATTGTTAAAAATTGCAAAGGTCTTTTTCCGCGTTCATGAGAAAACCATTAATCAAGCTTTCGATGGCTATACCCCAAATACTGGAGAATACTATCAGCTTTCGTTAACAACAAGGTATTCGAAATATGTATTAGATGTAGATACAACTAAATATTTTTGGGCATAGATACCCAGTACTTACCTCAATATAGATATTGGCCACCATAAGAGCTACCAAATGGCGGCCGCGGCAGCCGAGTGGTTAGCATTGCGTACTGCCATTTGGAGGGCTCGGGTTCAAAACTTATGGAAAACTAATTTAAATACAAAATTGTGTTAAATTTTCTAATTGCGGTTGCCCCTCGGCAGGAAATGTCAACCCCTCCGAGTGAGTTTCTGATAAGAAATAAAGGCTCCTCATAAAAAATCCGTCAGCCGTTCGGAGGCGGCTTACTGTAAACTGTAAGTCTCTCCAATTGTTGGAAGAACATCAATACGCAAAACCGGTGGAGGAGTTCGGCCTAGAAATGCTTCAGTGATAAAAAAAAAGCGCCAAAGCGCGTGGTGCTTGATTGGCCTCGTAAGACTTATTCATTCATTTTTAATTACTTACATATTTGCAGCTCAAACTGAGAGGTCATATTTTATGTTCTCCGGGACTCCTCTCTCCTTTCACACGCCCGAACGTGGCCTTTTCTCTGACCAGGAGAGGAACGTGGTTTATGTATCAAACTTCTTTTCGTTTTCTACTGCATATTTATTAAAAAAAAAAATTTATTATATTTAAATGAATAATAATATTGTCGTATTTAGCCGATAAAGAAATGTTCTCCGGTCAAGATCTATCCATAAAAAAAAATCCCATTTACATTAAAATCATTCGATTTATAGAAAACTTTTGCCTAAATTACCATGGCGAAAATTTTTCTTTCCACGAAGCAAGCCTGGGATCGATCTATTCGAAAAAATCGGATTTATGGTCCGGTAAATAAATTGCTTTTCTTTTCAGTGGGAATTTAATATAATAAGTGGAAAAGTTTTCTTTTTAGTAAGTAGTCCAGGGTTCATTGAAGTATAACTAATCAAGAAATAACAAACTACTTCTTTTATAAGTTAAAATATAAGTAATGTAAAAATTGAGGTTATTTTTTTCGTAATTATTTTTTTTTTTAGCTTTTTTCATTACAATTTTGACTTTATTTTTGGTGTGAGCTGTGAGAATACCCACTATACTTTCATTAAAACGCACCTTGAGTATAAGAGTCAGAGAAAGAAGTTATATAATAATTTAAGCACTTAAGAACTTCAGTCACAGTTAACCGTCATTTAAGCTTTCGGCATTACCAAAACATTACAGAGCTTAAAAAAATAAAAAAAAAACAATTACTTCGCCATCAAGAAAGATATGAATTGGAATAAAATAGAAGCCAAATTTTTGAGTCTGAAAAAACTGTAACATAATAGTTTAATAAAACAAACAAAATATTAAAAAAAAAAATTAAAAAATATTTTCACTTAAATTACATACATAGAAACTTAAAAAAACGGCAGTCGTTTCTTGTGATGCAATTTATTTCATTCATTAAAAACAACTCTGAAAACACTTTAAAAGCCACTGTAATTATTTATTGTGCAAGTGAATAAGGCAAATTAAAATCATGCAAATAAATAATACACAGAAATTCCATTTATTACATTTATTAACAATATTTATTGTAATACAAACATATTTTGAAAACCCGCATATATATACATATATGTATGTATGTGCATACGTGCTTAAATCCACAGAAAAATCAAAATTAACGTATATTTAATGTCATTGTCGGAGTTGCTGCTTTGCGAACCACATCAGGGTGATCATGAGAACGCCGTGACAATGTCATGAACTTGATTCCTAACAAAGACTTTCAGCTATTCAATTTGCTAAAGAAAAGACATGTCTCTAGAGTTTCATGCAGGGAACAACAAGTACTAAATACAATTTATATGCAGAAGTGACCAACGGATGTCATATAAACCAAGATTCTCCATGTTAGAGATTATCCATAAACCATATATGTAGATAAACCAAAAGGCGTAAAGATTAAGTTTAACGCTATGCTACAGTCACTGTTGGAGGAGCAGGTGAGACCAAAGCTACGTAAATTTCTTCGGATGAAACAAATATTTATTATGAGTTAATAGACCGTTTTCAATAAGTGATTTTTAACGGTTACTAAATATTTATCAAGTCGTATGTTGTAGTTTTCTTATCTACTTAAATTATAATTATTATCATAATTGTTTTTGCGGCCTCTACTATTAATATTTGTTATAAACTTTTTTAGAGAGCTAAAGGCCCAGTTTGTTTATATGATTTGAATATTTTTGTTATATTACAACAAAGAGAAATGGTAGAATTAACAACTGCTTTGTAGATTACCTCATTACCTCAACCGACATATTCCGGAAAGAATCCAACCAACGAATCTTAACAGGCGAGTGATCTAACGCTGAGTGAACATCAGCCATGTAATCTGTTGTTGCTTTATTTAAATCATTAAAAAAAATAACAATTATTAAGTGCGTTAATTTATTATCTTATTAAAATAAATCATTTAAAATAAAATATATTTTTTTATAAATATGTAGCATTAAAAAAGGGGAAGAGCCAAAGAAATGGGAGGGAGCCACGTGGCTTATGGACAATCCCTTATAAGATTTCCGCTAATTATTTTCATCCCAGCACATTTACTGTTCAATGCTTCGGTTATTATTATTTGTATTTTTAATCAAAACTTTACTTAATTGTGCAATAAATATTTCATTTATGTCGATTAATTATATTAGTGCAAACGGTAATACAAACGAAATCCACACGTATCTTAAAGTTAGCAAATTTACAATTATACCAGAATTTGAATACCTATAAGCTTTTTATTTTAAGTTAAATTGAAATTATCTATATACACATGTAAGTTAAGGTGTTTAGAGACGCATAAATCATGTTGAAATATAAAATTAGTAAATAACATTCAAATTAAATATTTTTACTTTTAAAAATAATGCATAAACAAATTGAAATCAAATACGCTGAAGCATCTTTTTCGAATGTGTCACCGAAACTTAGTTATTATGGTGAAATTTATTTCAAAATTGTTATTAGCTTGTTACTGTTTCAATCAAAAAGCGAAAAAGAAAAGAAAAAAAAATCATTATAAAGCATAGTTGTTAGCAAATAAATATTTATAAAATACTTACTGTACTTAAAGGCTTACATACATAGGTATGTATGTACATATATATACATACATATTACTATAAAATCATACCAAATGTATGTACTTATGTAACCTACAATATTTGACTGTTATGTATATTAAACTCTTATTCATGTTGTATTGTACTAACTAAATTAGCTTTAAATGTAATGAGTTCGGCTTGTATCGTTGATATGTGTTTGATACCTCTAAATTCATAAACATTTACAATTCATTAGTTTATACAAATTAATTAGATTTTTATATAATATCTATTGACCGAATACTATATATACACAAATGTTTAACAGTCGCATATACACCCGTACATAAATAACTATAAGACTTTCCAATATTTGTACAAGTTAAAATAGATCGAAAACAACTACAAAAACATATATTATTACAAATAAAGACTTACACTATGCAGCGGAAATGAAATAATATGCATTTATTACATTATATAATTCAGTATTTACCTACATACCTGCGCGCTTACATTGAAGCATACATATGTACATATGTGCAAGCAGTTAATAAATGTCAAGTGCTTAATATACATACATAAACTACAAAAAAAAACAAAAATTATTTATATGTATACCCACATACGTAGACGAATATTATTGCAGCTTGTTTGTAATTAAAAACCTAAACATAATGTAATTTTCAAAACTTGTAAGAAATGTAATCGTTATACAATGGATTGAGTACCAAATAAAAAGAATGAAACTATTTGCATATATTCATATGTATGTATATACATATGCAGACGTATGTTTATGTACATATGTATGTATATATGTAACATGACGATGGCACCAAACAAAATCCACTGCACATCATTTTGTATAATTAACTAACTTACAATTATTAAATCACTTATACTACAGAGCATTAAATGTGTGAATATTACTAGTACAATAAGTAACTATCAATAAAAATAAATATATTCGAAGCGTTCTGCATGTTTAAACAAGTTCCAGCAATCAAAATTAATTAATAATTAAATAAATGATATATGAAAAGTGTGTATGTGTATTTTAATTCATCAAAGTGACCTAAAACGTTTGCTTTCTTTAAAATTCACCTAAAAGCCAACAAATCAATATATTTGTTATTAGCAAGTGCGTTTTAATTGTTTAAAAATAAATAAAATAAAAATTTTAAACAAAATGTCTGTTTAAACATATTTGGTAAACAAAATGCTTAGGCACATACATACGTTTGTATGTATTAAGATTCCTCCCAATTCGGCTTCAGTTCATTGAATTTTTTGGGACTGTCATACTTTTAAGAATTTGCGCTTGCAATCGCAATACATTCACTAATTAATTGTGGATAAATTTGGGCGTGATATTACCGCGAATTATACCGGTATAAAGATCGTAGGAGAAACTACTCTCCGTAATTAATATACTTACAAACAAATTAACTGAATTCCATTGCACGGGTTAGAATTTTAAAGGATTTTTCTACTTTTTATTATCTAAATTGCTAGAAACTACACACTTGAAAAGTTGTTTCCCACTTTGTGCATAAAACTATTCATTACCGCACTTATGTACCCAACAACACAAGACCACAAATTTAATTTTTTTTATTTATTTTTTATACATTTTGACTTTACTATAAAAGCAGTTTAAATTAAAAATTTACAGAACTTTGGGTACTTCCACCAATTCATCCAGTGGTTTGGGTGGTGGAATTTTGTATTCTGTCTCGGGAGTCTCGTAGATTTTCTCCTCTTTTGGTTCCACAACCGACACATTGTCAGGTAGTGGTTTCTTGGGACCGATCTTGTTCTTAGGATCATAAGGCAACATAATTTTCACCTTAATTCCCAAAACGCCTTGACGCAACAAGACGTGACGGGTAGCTGTTTCGACGTAGTCGTTGCATGGATCACCAGAGTGGATCATAAGACCATCAACGAATTTCATGGACTTGGCACGTTGACCACGCAATTTGCCGGACACAACTACTTCACAGCCTTTAGCGCCAGATTCCATAATAAAACGCAACACACCATAACAAGCACGACGCACAGCTAATCCTCCGGTCAACTTGTAACGCAACGATTCAGCTTGTGCGATAGCGCATAGACCGCGAGTAGCAACTTTTTCGGCGTACAATTCGATGCGACCAGGCTCGAAATTGAAACGTTTTTGTACCATTGCAGTCAATTCACGAATGCGACGACCCTTCTCACCCAACACTTGTTGTGTTTTGGTGGCCATGATGATAATTTCCGTGCGGGCAGGAGTAACACGTACCTCAACACCAGAGTAACCATCCTCAGCGAGTTCACGAGTCAAGAACTCGTTCAATTCAGCCTTGAACATGCCATCGGCAACGAACTATAAAAGTAAACAAAACATTCAAATTTAGTAATTGAAAGGCAACAAGTTATAACTAAATAAAATTTAATATTGCTACTTTCAAGAGCTCAGGAAGCCGTATTGGGTGTCTCCTACAATTGACGTTTGCACTTTGAGGTTAGATTTCTTAAGTTCTTCTAATTTACAACCAATAAGCATTCCCATCACTTTTTCACTTGCACTTAATAGCGTAAGTTTAATTTTGACAATACATTATTTATAAAATCGTTTTATATTGATTACCTTGCGTTTTTTTGAGATATTAAGGCTCATTTTGTATTAAAAACGTCTTGCACGGAACGTGGTCAAACAGAAAGAAAGACGCACCGCGTTACCAGCAACATGGCAGTAGTAATCGAACTGCATTATCTTTGCAAAACTGCAAAATTAGTAATCGATATATTTTAGGTTATAGTGTTGCATTAAAGACATTAGAAAAATATTTTGTTACATAAATTTAATTACAAATTACGAAGGTATAGGGTACACACTTTTCCTTAACTTTGGTAATTTTTAATTTAGACAATAATTAATATAAAACTAAATATTTTTTCATTTCAATTATATTAATTGGTTATTATATATCCAAACTAAACATTTGAGATCTACACATATGTTTGCTAGCAATTGTCATTTCCATTAATAATAGCGACTGGAACTATGAATTCAAAATGTAATTATTATGAATTGAGATGTTTCTAGTTGTATATTGTCATAATGAATGTTGATGCTACAATCATTTATATGTCAATTGATATAACTTAATGTTGACGATGTCGCGTTTGGTGCAAATCACCGCCAAACCGATACTTTTATTTGTTGAGATCTTCGCCATATCTCTCCAGATTTAGAAAGGTGATCTCCAAAGAGTTGAAAAATTTAATAAATTAGTTTTGACAGCATAAATAACTTGCTACAACTTATAAAAAAAAGGAATGCTAATTGTTTGGGGTGCTAGATAATCTTGTTTGCAAAATATATTTCGAAAAAAAAATTTCTTTTGTCGGGTTATACATTTTGATAAGCTTAGCTTAAGTAATGTAAGAAAGTTCTGCCTAGAAAAAGGTCAATGATTATGTATACATACATATATACTTGGAGCTTTGTTACCATTGAAAAGGTTTTTAGACGAGTTATTTCCCCAATTTGTGGTGTCTTTATAGTTTTCCTATAAATGAAGGAACCTACTGTACATACTAAGCCGCCTTCGAAGAGCTGATGGATTTTCGTGAGGAGCTATTTATTGTATGCCAGAAAACCATGAAATTCCCTGCCGAGGGTCGACCGCACTTAAAAAAATTTATTTTCTGTAATTTTGGATGTTGATCGAACCAAAATTAGAACTGGTCTTCAAAATGGTGGTACGGCAATGTATGTAATGTTGTTGTAACTTTCAGTCAAAGACAGACTGTTTGAAGACTTTAATATATTAATTCAATATACTATTTCTGCTCTATTACCTGTTAAGATGATTTCATTATTTTGACTGGGTAAATTTTCTTACTAGCTAAAAACTAAACTAATTTTTTATCGTTTATAAAAAACAATGATTAAAGAAAATCAACTCTATTAAAGAAGAAATAATCAAATGAAGCAATTTTGAACAAGGTCTTTGGATCATATATACATATGTATATATGTGTGATTCAGAATGTTGACCGGAAACTTCACTTTCTAACGAAATAAACTTGAAATGATGATGTTTTATTAGCTTTGGTATAAGTTTTTATAGTTAAAAATGGTCTTGAAGGAGGAAAATTTATTAAAAAGTATAATATTCTACCATGTGTAAATTCACTACGCTGCAGGCGGATGATATATACCAATGAGAAGAGTGGTCGCAGCTGGGAATACAGTATTGAGAATGCATATTTATTTCCATAGGCCCAACACCCGCTGTTTTTAAGAGTTTATGCTCGAATATGTATTGAATGTTCTGAATTATTATTTATTATTGATTTAATCATTGGGTATTTTGGGTAAAATCAATAAATTCATGAAACACATCAGAAATCTCGCGAAACAAAGCTGGAGTACCAACATTAAAAAAATAAACTTACCGAAATATCAGCACTTAACGAAAATGTCTGCCAACGAAAGCGACGCATAGTAGGCGGCGTCATCGTTTTGCTGAGCGTATAAATAGAAGTTGCTTGAGATTTTTGACTCATTCGATATCAGTTTGGGAAGCTTCATAACCGGCTACATCCGAACGTCGATATAAAAAACTCTCCAATTTCTTTGTGATTTGTGTGTATTATAAAAAGTAAAAACTCAAAATGGTAAGATTAATTAATAATAATAAATCAATTAAAATTTCTGCTGGCGTAAAGGATATTATGGAATTTGAGTGAAAAATAAATCTTAATTAGTGGAGTTCTTTGTATTGAGTGCTTTAAGAAAACGTGATGTGATGACGTTAGCATCATGATGTAAATGAGAAATCTGTCGCCTAATATATTTTTGATAAATTGCAACGTTTCTTTTCGTTTTTTTTTTTTTTTTAATAGTTTTGTGAACCTTTTTAAAAATTGAGTTTTCTTTCCTTTCAAAAATGGAATTTTTTTTATGTCAGCAAATATACATATGTATACCGGTGACCGCACCCAATGCAGTAAATGTCGACGTAGACTTCAGCGATTATGCGCTGCGTCACTTCGTGTACAAAGTAAAAAAAAAAAAAAAAGTAACGTAAAAATTTACTCGTTCATACAAAAACGAATGAATGTATTCCCTCAGTTTGTTGGGAATGCTATTTATAGAGTTTAGATATAAGATAAATAATATCTCGAAAAGCCGGTTCCATAATACGCCTTTCTGACAAATTGTTATTACTGCAAAATGCAATTATTGATTGGACATTTTTTTTTAATGAATTTTCCTTTTCTTCTTTGTATTTCTAACAGCGTGAATGTATTTCTATCCATGTCGGTCAAGCTGGTGTCCAGATTGGTAACGCCTGCTGGGAATTGTACTGCTTGGAGCACGGTATCCAGCCTGATGGCCAGATGCCTTCTGATAAGACTGTCGGCGGTGGTGATGATTCATTCAATACCTTCTTCAGCGAAACCGGTGCTGGCAAACATGTACCACGTGCCGTATTCGTAGATTTGGAACCCACTGTGGTTGATGAAGTCCGTACTGGTACTTACCGTCAATTGTTCCACCCTGAGCAATTGATCACTGGCAAGGAAGATGCTGCCAATAACTACGCTCGTGGTCACTACACCATTGGTAAGGAAATCGTTGATTTGGTCTTGGATCGCATCCGTAAATTGGCCGATCAGTGCACTGGTCTGCAAGGTTTCCTCATCTTCCACTCATTCGGTGGTGGTACCGGTTCCGGTTTCACTTCCCTTTTGATGGAGCGTCTTTCCGTCGATTATGGCAAGAAATCGAAATTGGAATTCGCCATCTACCCAGCACCCCAGGTGTCGACCGCTGTAGTTGAACCCTACAACTCGATTTTGACCACCCACACAACACTGGAACATTCGGACTGCGCATTCATGGTTGACAATGAAGCTATCTACGATATCTGCCGTCGCAACTTGGATATTGAACGTCCTACCTACACCAACTTGAATCGTTTGATTGGTCAAATTGTCTCGTCCATCACCGCTTCGTTGCGTTTCGATGGTGCCCTCAATGTGGATTTGACTGAATTCCAGACTAACTTGGTGCCCTACCCACGTATTCACTTCCCATTGGTTACCTACGCACCAGTCATCTCTGCTGAAAAGGCCTACCACGAACAATTGTCTGTAGCTGAAATTACAAACGCTTGCTTCGAACCAGCCAACCAGATGGTGAAATGTGACCCACGTCACGGCAAATACATGGCCTGTTGTATGTTGTACCGTGGTGATGTAGTGCCCAAGGATGTCAATGCCGCCATTGCTACCATCAAAACCAAGCGCACCATCCAGTTTGTGGATTGGTGTCCAACCGGTTTCAAGGTCGGTATTAACTACCAGCCACCAACTGTGGTGCCTGGTGGCGATTTGGCTAAGGTGCAGCGCGCTGTCTGCATGTTGTCCAACACCACAGCCATTGCCGAGGCCTGGGCTCGTTTGGATCATAAATTCGATTTGATGTATGCCAAGCGTGCTTTCGTGCACTGGTATGTCGGTGAGGGTATGGAAGAAGGTGAATTCTCCGAAGCTCGTGAAGATTTGGCTGCCCTTGAGAAGGATTACGAGGAAGTCGGTATGGATTCTGGTGACGGTGAGGGCGAAGGTGCTGAAGAATATTAAACAACGGAATGAAGAGCGTATTGAAGAAGCATACCCATTGCTGAAAAAATATTTTTTTTTTTGTTTAAGTTAAACAAAACTGATGTACGAATCAAGGAAAAAACGATTAAATTTTTGATGATTGTAAAATTAACAAAGAAAAAATTGAACATTGAAAAGAGGAATATGCACAAGATTACTAAAAAGAATGAATTAAAAGAAAATTGCATTTGAAGTTCAAAAATATGTATTTCAATTCATAAAACAAAGGGAGGGGATAAGGGAAATGTTGATACGTTTTACGCTACAAATTTCTTTCTAGTACATGAAGTTTCTGCTGTACTTATGGCTACGTTTAGTTCATTGCACCCAAATCAGCTAATTATAGCATAGTGTCTACACGCCAAATGCATTACACGCTTTCTACTTCGGTATAGTAAATCTGTGAAAACTCGCAAGTCATTTCTAATTTATAATCGGCTGAAGTTTTTGTGCCTGCTTTATGCATGAGAATCAACAGATTGCTCCCATTTCTTTGTGGATAAATATAAATTACTGCAATTTGTGCCACCGGCGGCGATGTATTCCACGTATATGCCCACAGTAGCTTTTCTCTCAAAACACTTTTCTAGGGCCTCTAAGCACCATGTAGTACTTACATAAATACATGTGTATTTATGTATATATATATATATGTGTGTGTAATTATTTGTGTTATGTGTAATGAATCACCGGAAAAAGAAATAAATATGTATGTATGCATGGATACAAGTTTGCCTACTTTCCAATTTCTTTGAATTGGAAACGTCGAAGTAAGCGTCTATGCCAACACGTTGGCTCCAACGAATGAATGTTAAAGTAAATAAGCTGAAATACATACATATGAACATGTATACATATTTTCTTATGTTTTTATGAAAAGATGACATCATCGAGTTGAATTACTTTTATTCACGTTTTTGGATATTGTTCTTGTCGTTACTGTTTAGAGCATTGTTTTGATGGTTATCTCAAACAATTCTTATACAAATATGTATTTTTGGGTTAATGCACATTTTTGATTTATATGTATGTATGTATGCATTTAACTAGCTGTAAAAGTTGTCTTGACTTCAGGGCGAGGTTACTTAATTAGGTAATGTTTTATACACCCATTTGTATATATCCATATATGCATCTATATATGCATACATATATGTATTTCATATATCAAATAAAAATGGTTATATAAGTACATTAACGTACATATTGTATGCTAGAATATATGTATATGTTCTTATATGCGAATTCTGGCATACACCCTTATTGAACCGGCACATACACGTACATACATACATATATGAAAATATTCGGAAAAAAAATTCGTTGGCTTGTTTGTACCTCCATATCCTGTGCAGCTGTCGTTAGGTGGCCGGTTGTGAGTCATTCCGTTTGCCGCATTGTCCTTTGCTTCCATAGTAATTTTTGTTGTACGCTGAAAATCGATAATTTTTCCGCATTCATGGGAAATGTGTTAAGAAACTTTTAGTTGCGTTATGAAGTTTTAGGTCTGACATACCTACATATGTATTTACCTACACACTCTATATATGTATGTATTTATATATGTATAAGTATGAGTATGCAAACCGAAAATATTTATTTACAAAAATTCTGCGAAAACTTTCAATAGAAGAAAAAAAATATGCCATGAAAAGAAATAATTATATTTTTATGCATAAAAAATATACTACATGGTTTTACCGGATAAGGTAGTGAATGTTACGGTTGATAGCTCGTAAATTTTTGCTTACATACATAACTATGTACATAATATATACAAACATATTTGTCTATCTAAAGAAAAGAGAAAAAAAGAAAAAGAAAAATCTAGACATTACAAGTACCTGCATAAATATGTATGTATATACATTATTCACCATGTGTACTCATATGGATATATTTCTTTGTAGCAATGCATTCAAACCCAATAATTTCTTTAAGTATCCATGCATTTTTTAAATCTCTCACTAATCTATATGAATTTTTTGCCAAAAGTTTAGTTTTAATGTTGGAATTTTCGGCAGAAGTGAACATCTGCCGTTTCCGTTCGTTAACTTTTCGATCTGCTTAATTTCAACTTCAGCGAGTAGAAGTCGTAATGAAGTGCATACAAGCCTACACAAGTAAGTATGTATGTATACACACGTATATGAGTAAGTGCAGTTTATCAGCCACACCATATTCTCCCATACCCATACACATATCGGAGTTTAAAATAAAACTTCCCATAATTTGAAATATATTTTCAAAGATGGCTACTGGCTCTGTGAAAATAGCTAAACTATATGTAGATTATCTCTATATGCACAAATATACATATGTACATATTTTGTCGATACTCACGTATATATAACTGAACATGAGTATGGGGAATACATCTTCCCATGCTTTAAAAATAAAAGTTTATAAATATTAGGAGAATCTAGTAAAAATCTCAAAAGCCAGCAAGTGATGCAAGAAAACTTCGCTTCTATATAAAGTCAAAGCCGAACAGCAATTACTACATACATTCATATGTATGTACATACAAAAAGATGTAAGAATGCATAAAAAATATACTCCCCATTGGATTGGAAACAAGTTTTTGAAAAACCTAACCAAGTATGGTCACTGCGGAGGCCTGCTATGAGACATGTTGTGTGAGCGTTAACGTCTACACATTTATTTACATATTTATGAAAAACCTATAGATTTATATTCGTATATACATACACACGTACTTAAATACACACCTACTAAGATATCATGATATTTTCATGGATGGATGACGTTATAGGCGAATGACGTTATGCTAGCAGTTTATTTATTTACTAGAGGAGTGATAAACAAGTCAATTTAGTAAAACTCAAAACATTCATAAACAGTTATATGCACATATCGCTCTTTAATTTTTCAACGTGTTTACTAATTTCTGCATAGAATTTAACTTTTAATATTTTAACGCATTAAATTTGAACAACAAACATAGTAGTTTACATGCATACATACGTAGATTGGCGGTCACTGTAGCCGCAATGATCAGACTTTGTAACATCTCAATTACGCAAGACAACTCCTCCAGCATACATACATATGCATGTATGTAAATATATCTGGAGCTTATCTTAAAATACCAAATAATCCAGAATTTGCAGGGAATCAGGGAACAGCTCGTCCAAAAATAGGTTATGAATGCCACAAGTCGGAAAAGTCGGAAGGTAAATATGATTTCGTGCCCAAGGCAGTATAGCATCTGAAAAGAATTTACATATCTTCTTACGGTCATATCTCGTCAGGAAAGGTTAATATCTTCGAGCGCAATCTTTGGCATAAAAATAATAGTTTCTGCTCTTAAAACAGTTCAAATCCCTGTGCGATCAACATCCGAAAGTTATAGAAAATTAATTTAAATTAAAATTTAATTTAAATTTTCCAATCACGGTCGCCCCTCGGCAGGGAACGTTAACCCCACCGAGTGTATTTCTGACATGAAATAAAGCTCCTCATAAAAAGCCAACAGCTGTTTGGAACCGGCTTAGTATAAACTGTAGGTCTATGCATTTTTTGGAAAAAACATCAAGACGCAAAAACACAATTTGGAGAAGGAGCTCGGCGAAAAATCGCTTCAGCGGTTACAAAGCACCAATTATATTATATATATAGGTACATATTTATTAGTACCCCCATATATATTAGCGTATCTACCTAAAAAGCAGTTTTCTCTTTAAATTTGTTCCTTCTGGCTTGAGCGTAAATATGGCGGTCCAAGGAAACGTTATTATCTGTTTATATTCTTAGTAAATATCTCCTGTAAGTAAGCGGAGCAATGACAAATATGTTTAAGTTGCATGAGTTTTTGAACCAAACATTTATCTTCAACAATATTTATTGTAGTGATTATAGGATTTCGTACTCATTTCTAAATTTGTAAAAATTGACATTCTATTCATTTGTGAACGTACCCATTAACTAAAGATAATGCAGGCAAGTGAACTGCATTACCATCAATAGCTCATATTGTTTTATATTTCACCAGCTTAAGTATACAATGATGTATCTAAATTTTTAACTAAGCTTAAATTTAGATCTCACAACATTATTAAACAATAAACATGCACTTATCATTTAACTGATTATACCAAAAACTTGCAAAGCGCAACAATTTTTTGCTTACAAAATTCGCCTTCTTTGAATTCGCTTCGATATTCTTCACCAATCTCTTCTGTGCGTATTTGTTTTGCACACATTTTCGTATCATCCTATGTTTTTTTGTTGTAAACAAAATTTGAGAGTGAAATATAAAATCACGCCAATTTTATAAGTTCAAAAATAAAAATATATTGTGTTTCTTTACGTACATTAAAAAGGTCAAGATTCCTATAGATTTTATTATCTAAAATGACTTTAACAAAGACTGTAGACCAAGCCACCATACTTAGCGGTGATCGTTCCAAGTAAATATACCCACAAACAAATTGATATCAGATTCAAATCGTACTTGTAATTAATACCTGTTTTTCTATCCTAGATTGAAAGATTTACTTTGCAATCGTTTAGCCGAATGTGGCTGGAGAGATGAGGTGCGTCTAATGTGTCGTAACATTATTAAGGAGAAGGGCAGTAACATTAAAGTGGAACAGTTGATTGCCGATGTAACACCTCGCGCTCGTGCCACTGTTCCTGATGCAGTTAAAAAAGAGTTACTTATGAAGATCAAAGCGATTTTAGCTGCGCAGGAGGGCATAGATTTATAAAGTAGACTACAGAAACGGAAATGAGTATTTTGAAATTATAAATAACACCTTTTTTTAAATACTTATACTTAGATTTTGATGCATTCAAAGGATTGTGCGATTATTTCAATACAAAAATAAATTAATTATACGTTTAGGTTTATTTACATTGTTTTCTCATTAAAAATTATGCTTGGAATTAAAGTGAGTAGGACCCCGACTTTGCTTTCGTGGATTACCGGACATTTGTCAACTTCAAAGAAAACGTTAACTTAGACTTAACGAAAATTACCGAGAACACCTCCAGTGCCTGTTGTTGCATTGGTTCGCTAACCTCGCTAAGGGACAGGCCAATACATCTCAGTCACCGAGGTCATCTAACTGGAGCTCAAAGGGAGAGGGGTGGTTAGGTGTGTTGTTTTTTGGGGGACATGTGAAGAGGTGGTTAGTGTCGTGCGCACATTGTTTCCATGCAGAACATACGTTAAGTATTTTAGGCTCGAACTCGGATAAGTAAGAATTTAACCTTGTTGATTCACTAATCTGGGAACTTCATTTGAAGATTCGGCATCTTCCCTTCTGAGCCAAAAAATTTCAAATGCTATGAGGCGAGACAACCGGGAGGAAATTTCATTTTGTGAGCGCACATCGTAGAACCCCAGAAGGGCGCGACCTATTTTATTCGCCTTTTTTCGCTGCAGCATTTCAGTTGACAAAGTGAAATGCGCTAATTGCTAAACACAAGCGTGATACTTGATTTTTTAAGAGAAGAGGTTCAGGGAGTGGGTTATTGAGAAGCCAAATTCATCGGCTACGACGAAACAAGCAGGAGACTTCTTAGACATTTGGGTGCGGAGGAAGCAGAATACCTCACCAAGGCACTTAAATTATTTTTTAAAATGGATATTTGATATAGTGGCACTAAGACCGGAAAAACCTGCCAATATCATATCGGCTGATATCTCTCCTTTCCCCAGTAGCGAACACAATTGAGACCTTGAGGCCTTGACCTTAACTGAAATCGACTCTGCGTTCGAATTGTCGTGGTAGCACTGGTGGGGGATCCTCGTTACCGCCGGGGTTGAAGAGGTGGACCGTGAACTACTTAAGTGGTAGACAGAGAGCTCTTCTCTGATCTGATGTACCAACGACTACTCAATATTAGTGGAAAGGAAATTGCTATCCCGTTGACCATTCCCACTATTTCTCTATGCAACAATTTCAAATCCTAGGTTACCCTCTTCACCAGCTGGAAGAAGGAGTAACAGGCCTTAACTGAATGTCAAAAATGACATACCAACAATAAATAATCATCAATCGTATTTCTACCAAATCACATATCAAATTGAAATTAGAAGCGCTACTCGACAGGCCCCAGAGTAGGGATAAGGAACCGTAGCTTGCCTTCCGGTCATTGATAGATCCATTTGGACAACGTGGACTACCCCTGACCGTAACCGGAAGTCCACTGATGTGTCTTATGCACCACTTACACAGTGAAACACCTATGCTTCCAGTTAAGGAGGAATGTTATCGTAATAACCATCTTAGCAGACATCTACTGATAGCCGAACGACCACTTAGGCATATCAGGAAGTGACTCGGCTTAAGCGACCCCATTAAGCATTTCAGAACAAACCTACTGGATAGGGCGACACCTTCATAAACTCTCTTCTGACAAATGACGGGCTCGGAATCCCATTACCAGCCAACGTAGGCGAGAAGCTCAAGTTGCCTCGCTAGACGTAATACTAGGACAATGAAGATCTGGATACTATACTAGACTTGAGTCCGGCTGAGACTTAACTTATGTCGTGCACGTAAGAAATTGTTCATTCTTGTTATTTTTCATTTTATTTATATTTTATTTGTAGTAATTTATAGAAATTTTCAATTAAAGTACAGATTTACAGAGACCACAGTTGCTCACGGGACAGGTCTTCATTTGCTTATGGTCTCCAACTCGTATAACTGCCGCCATGCCCATTTCTGAGTGCGTAGATATATGACAATGCAAAATCCAATAGCCGGGATTGTCTGTATAGAAACGAATTATGGTATAACCGAAGGCAGGCACTTGAACTGTGTCCTTAATTGGTGCGGCACGTTCTCGGCGTGGTAGCGGAGTACGACGATCAATTTCTTCAATCTGTAAATGGAAATAAAACAAATAAAAATAAGTATTTAAATATATGTAAGAGTACATAAGAATATAACTATTGCTGGTGGTATATTCACCTGGTTTATTTTATCAGCGCCGAGTACGCCAATACCGATCACGCGAAATGTGTAACCATGTAAGTGTATGGGATGCGCCGTCTCACTGGTACTTGAAATAACAAATTCTATATGTTTAAATGCCGGCACCTCGATAATATTGGCACATTTACAGTGTGTCTCCCCACGACAATCTAAGCCCAGTGTGGCTTGTTGTGTCTTGTTGCAAAGAAATTGCTCCACACCGAGATTACGGGATTGCAAAAGAGACATACGCGGTGGCAAAGCGAATGTAATTTCATCCATCTGGAACAAAAATTCATTGGCGAACTTGCGAATACTCATGCTGGTATAGTAAGTGCGATAGGGGATAGTTGCTCTAGTGGAGCGTCTTTCTAATGCCTCCAGGTCGGCGATTGTCAATAAATTGTTATCGGCAGTAGGTGGCTGATTGATTGGGTTGAGTTCCTTGCCGTTAGGTTCATACTCATAAGATATCTTCCCTTTGGGTAGAGTACGCTGTTTCGCGCCATCGTAGTGCAGTATGGCCTCTTGGTGTACCTTATTAGTACTGCAGAAAGCATAACCCTTTACGCGTATCCAATAGTTTTCGACCTTTTGATTGGCGTGCAAGATAAAGTCGAAACGCTCACCGCCATGCAGTGTGATCTTCCGCACTTTGACGGGTACAATGTCATTGCCGTCGCTGGAGATGACGATTAGTTCGTGATTGTCAATGCTCATGCTTATCGGGCAGTTAGCAATACCTGCAATGTGGCATTTAAGAACAGAGAGTCACTAAGATAATGAAAATGATTAATTTCCGCTCACCGTTAAAGATTACACGAAACCGATATCTGCCACCACGCAAAACCGTATATGTAGCGTAGAGAGTTGGTGACTTATTTTTAGTTCTACCGTCAGCTTTACGCCCCACACCATCAATTAGTATATTTGCCGGAAATGCCGACTTTTCACCATCGTACAACCAATCTTGTAGCATAATTGTATGTTCCGAATGGTCGAAGTCATAAAGAGCGCCATGCATATCTTCCGATGGTGCTTGTCTCACCACCAAAGCACCGGCTATGCCACGTCCACGCTGATGACCAACGTGGCTATGCCACCAATGTGTACCAAAATTATCCGCCTCGAAGCTGTAACGAAATGCTTGGCCTGGCTCTATGGGGTACTGTGTAATATACGGCACACCATCCATATGTGGCGTCTTCAGCTGATGCAAGCCATGCCAATGCAAAGTCGTAATGTCGTGCAAACTATTTATAACATCGGCCACAATGGTATCACCCTGACACACCTCAATTGTTTGTCCCGGCAATTGGCCGTTGACGACCTGCACTCCCATCTGCTCACCGTCACCGTATTTGCAATCATCAAATCCGTCGAATTTCTTTACTGCAAATGTGTCTATGTATTCTCGTCCGTTAACCCTAAAACGGAATTGTTGATCGAGATAACGTTCACAGCTCGGATTGAAGATCTCATCGTTGTGTATGATGAGGTAGTAGTAGCATGTCATTGGCTTTTGGTCACTGTGACATGCCCGTTTGCAGGGATGATCACCAAATGAACCGAAACGCCATGTTTTGGTTTGATCAAACGAGGGCTCCGGAAAGATCTGCAACATTTGCTCATATTTGCTAATGTGTGCTGCATGAAGAAGTATGTATGTACGTTAAGAATTGGCTAATAAATATGTGTGTCTACGTTCCTATGGAACAGTTCACACAAAATCTCGTTGGTTACAGTCGCCGTACCTAACCAAACCTTTATGTTAGACATACAATCCGTGGTTTTCAATTGTTCGAAGGCTTCCGCCTTGCTGGCGCTCGATATATTTTTCGTCTTTTAGCTGCTGTACGCAAATGACGCTAGCATAAGAACATGGGTATCTATGAAATAGAGGGTTAGCTGAATTTAAAGAGTGTCGCCTAAAGGCACCCTAACGGAATGATAAATTAGGTATCTAGCCAATATGACACCACCTACTCACATGGCTAAGTATAAGTCTCAGAAATCCAGGTGAAATAATGCGGACTTAGCTTTAGTAGAACTAAAGGAATCTATTTCACTTTTTCGTTACTTTCAATGACTCCTAGCTGTAGAGCTGAATAGAGAAGGTACAAAATTCTACACAGTACACAGCTACTAGCTTAAGCCTCATTAGCACCAACAAGCGCATCGTGAGTTCTGCTTTCTTCAAACTCGATAAGCATTAACACAACAGCAATGTAAGCCTTGAAATCTAACGCAGAATTTATCTTGCCCACAGGTGCTACTTTGGACAGAGTTGGCAATTGAAAAATAAAGTTCTCCATCAGCGAACAAAGACCAAACTCTACGTCACTCATCATTCCCATTCTACTACAATATATGGTGTGCAGGCTAGGACGATGGTAACATCTATTAAATGGACGTTGGGCGATTTCGAGAGAAAGGTTTTCCGTAAGAATTATGTTCCTTTACGCATTGCCTCCGACGAATACCACAGACGATGGAACGATGACATGGTTCAGCAAATTAAGCAACAGCGGATACGCTGGCTAGGTCATGTCGTCCGAACGGATGAAAGCACTTCGGCATCCGATGCAGTATCCACTGGGTAAAACAGAATAAGAGGAAGGCCTCCACTCCGTTGGAAGGATCATGTTGAGAGTGAAACCAGGCACTTGCTATTTCTAACTTGCGCCAAACAGCGATAAGATGGAAGGTATGGCGGACTAATACTGAAGCGGTTTTCGTCGAGCTCCTGCTTCAATTTGTGGTTTTGCGTCTTGCAACTACTATGTATGTGTGTGAATGGAATGATGAAGAATATTTTTTTAATACGTCAGTCCTCTTTCCGGAAATGTTGTTTCTTATAAACCTTCCTAATAACCTTAGAAAAAGTCCGACAAAATTACAAGTAAGAAGGTCGGTAACTTTTGGAGGACAGCAAATCTGATCAAAGGAACATAACAGTTATACATCTATTTTCAATAGCCTTTCTTTGACAGATTAAGCACTTTGCTCCACATATGGTCAACATAATCGGCCTACTGAGCGAACTATTCGCAACACCATCACCACTCTTGAGATCCAGCATTCATTATTGGATAATATTCGACCGAATAGACGACGTCCAGCATACGGTGAAGAAAATATAGCAACTGAGGGTGTACACGAAGACCGTGAAGAGTCGATTCGGCGCCGTTCGCAGCAACTCACACTGACGTATGGAACGACTTGGCGCATTTTACTTCGAGATCTGAAATTGAAAGCGTACAAAGTACAGCTGGTGTAAGAACTAAAGTCGCGACATCGCTTCGCAACGTGATACCATTTCATACAGAACCAGAACGGTTTAGTGTGGTTTGGGGGCCGATAGAATTCTTGCTATATATTTCTTCATAAATGATGCGGTGATATCGTAACCGTCAAAGCAACCGTTATTGCGCTATGACAAACGACTATTTGATGCCTAAAATTGAAGCTCGTGAGCTCGGCGACATTTGGCTTCAAGAAGAAGGCGCCATTTCTCACACATCGCATCAATCAATGGATTTATTGAGGGAATATTACGGTGAACAGATAAATTCACGTTTTGAACCAGTCGATGGGGCACCAATATTTCCTGTGGGGATGTGTAAGGTCTGAATTCTATGCTTCTTTCTTCGATTCAGGTCTTGGAGCAAAACATCACGCGTATCATTCGCCAGTTATCAGTCGAAATGCTCGAACGAATTGTCGAAAATTGAACTCAACGTATGGACCACCTGAGACGTAGCCGCGGTCAAAATTTGAAAGAGATAAGCTACAAAAAATAAATACCAAGAAATGTTCTCTCGAATAATAATAGACACTCCCCATTAGATTTGAATTTTCTGTGTTTTTTCTAAAAAAAAGGTAAGGAACCTCGAAATGGGTTACTCTTTATATATATATTTAAAGAATATCTTGTATAATTTATAAGTTTCGTAAATTCTTATAAACTATAATAAGAGAAGCAACAAACACCTAACAAGATCCGAATTCCCTACAACAACAAAGACCAAAAACCAGCAAAAGGGCCACTTAAGAAATTATTAAAATCTGATTTTTTTGAAAAAAAAAAATATTTTTAATTATTTTTATGCATATTGCGTTGTTGTAGGTATTTATTAATTTACCAAATTGGCGGCCGCAGTAGCCGAGTAGTTAGGATTGCGTCCTAACATTCGGATGGCCAGCGTTCGAGTATTGCTTCGACCAACATACAACATTTTAGATGATAAATTTTCGTAATTGCGTTCGCACCTCCCAGTGTATTTCTGACATGAAAAGAAAGACGCCCAGAACAAATTGGAGGAGGAGCTCGGCCAATAGCACCGCTTATATATAAAGGGCGATTTTTTAGCTATTATCTTTCTTGTAACACTGGCTTACACAGCTGAAAAAGTCACAGTTTTTAGCGGCTTATGGGCTGGTGGCAACATTGGACCGTACTTCTTCAAAGATGATGCGAATCGTAACGTAACTGTGAATGGTGAGCGCTACCGTGAGATGATATCAAACTTTTTTTGGTCCAAAAATGCAAGAGCTTGACTTGCATGACATGTGGTTTCAAGAGAGATGGCGCCACATGCCACAGAGTACGCATTACAATGAACTTATTGAGAGGCGAGTTCGGTGAACATTTTATTTCATGCTCGGGACCGGTCAATTGGCCGCCTAGATCACGCGATTTAACGTCTTTAGATTATCTTTTGTGAGGCTATGCTAAATCTAATGTCAATACAGTCAGGCCTGCGCCAAATAACGCAATGGAGTACAATATTGAAGCATTTATTCATGAGATCCGGCCGAAATGTTGGAAAGAGTATGCCAAAATTGGACTGAGCGGATGAACCATTTGAGGCGCAGTCACGATCAATATTTGTATGAAATAATCTTCAAACATTAAATTATATGGGCCGTACTATCGATGCAAATAAAGATTTTAGATATTTTTCTGAATTTTATAATTATTTTTTTTTTTTTTTTTTTTGAAAACTCTTAAAAACCATACTTTATATTAAATTAATATCTTTTTTCTCTTATGTGGAACATTCTATTGCTTTTAGATTTTTTCCAATTTCACACAAATTTCAATTTCATTTGATATCATTTTTACACAAATTTTTTAGCAACTCAAAATCTATTTGAAAAAAGTCGGATATCACAGAAAAAAAAAAAACAAATGAAATTGCACAACAACTTCTGTTTTATGGAAATTTTCATTTTTTCGCATAGATAAGGCTAAATTTTTTGTTTTTATTCCAATTGGTGTATGTATGTTTGTGTGTTTTGAAAAGTCTGCACTTCGAAGTACCTTTGCAGTGTGCGGCCAAAGCAAAGCACATCCAACTAATAACTATTATTTGTTTCATTTTTAATACATTTCTTCACTTTTTTGGGTTATTCTAGACTAAAATCGTCCGCACCGTTAAACTAGCAACACCGCTACTTTTCTTCTGTAGCAAATATATCGTTACCGTGTTTTTATTAATCACTGAATCTTTTCGTGGTGTTGTCAATGCTTTTATAGATCTAAATGTTTTTTTTTGTGGATTTTTAAATGTATATATATGCATGTATGTATGTAATATGGTTTGTGTAAGCGTAAATATTTAGTCTTACAGTTAAAATTAGCTAACTGAGTTTAACAGCTTCCATTCGTAGTATATATTTCTATTGAGCCTTCTAAGGCGACCTCTAAGAGGCCCTCGGCAGATTATGCCAAAACCACCGCAAAAGCATCAAAATAATTCACCAGAAAATCGCTTAAGGAGTTACATAGGTTTATTCGTTTATTTTCAACTATTTTTTATGTATAAAGAATAAACTTTTTGATTTAAACTTTACACTGTCTGAAAGATATAACACCGGCATTGTCTAGTGAACCCTCGGAAAATAGTTGCATTCACGTGGATAGTGGAACTTATGACAGAATCATCTGAAATGATGGTTTTCTAATTAAAACCATAGACTATAAGACATAGATTGTAGTAAAAGTATTGGTATCGCTTACACTAAATCCCAGATTGGTGCTGGATTGTCGCCGATTTCTATAGGAGATGAGTAAACAAATCAGACTGTCACTTACGTGGATGCATTGCATTTCCTGCTTTGAGACATTCTTTAAAACTTTTGAACCGTACTGCTGGATGGTGTATTAAAGATAGCCGGTCTCAAAGTCATGGATCTAAAGAGGTTCATTAGAGCATCCAAATGACTGGATAATGAAGTCTGATAGTCAAGTTTTTGTGGCATCACAATGGGTGTTACTTAATTTTAAGTGTTATCGGTCCGATAGACCGGTAGCATCCACAACCTAACCTAACCTAATAAAACAGACTGTAATTTGGACAAGATTTTTGGCTGAGTTCTTTTTACAAAAAACACGCTTTTTTCTATTTTAAATGGAAGAAAAGTGTAGCTGAAGCCCATCACATGCTGGCGGAACCTTATGATGCAGATGCAGTGACCCACGGTCAACCCAAGAGGTTTGAAAATGTGGTATGCTACTAAAACCGACCTGAATCATTGATCCGAAACGTTATCGACTGCAACTAATGCGTTTGAGACAAGGTGATTTTGCAACATTACAAGTTTCGGTCCCACTCACAAGGAACGGTCAAAAATACCTGAAAACGCTGAAATGGGTGCCGCGACCCCATCTGGCTTATGCACCAGTCCTTGCACCTTCGGACTATTGATTTTTCGACGCATGTAAAACGATTTGATGGTTCACCGGTTCGAGTCGAAAAATGGCTCAATAATTGGTTTCAGAACTGAGAGGACTCATTTTTTAAAGTTGGGATTCGACAATTAACAGAGTGATGATACACATGATGACAGAGAAACTCGTGTTTAAAGTTTAAAGCGTTGCGCCTGTCTGAGCCCACACCTTCCGTAGTCTGTATCTTCGAAACCATTAATCAGATTATCTTAAGAATGATGCTCAATATTAATAAGGCTATAAAAAATTAAAATTTTTGAAGCTGTGAAGCCCATGCAACTCCTTAAGTGATTATGAAGCCTCAATAGCCGAGTGGTTAGCATTGCCTAGTGCCCT